ATCTCTCAGGATCATGTTTAGATATCTAGGATCCCTTTAGTGCTGCATGTCTGCTGGAGTTGCCTTCCTGAGTTATGGAATGGCAGAGGGGATTAATTCTACTTTGCAAACATTTGGTGTACTAGTTAACAGAAAATTTATCTTAAGCAGAGACTGGGGAGAGGACTGATGAGGAGGGAATGGCTTGGTGTGGCATGCTGTCAGCTATACCCTCACTGCCCATATGACTTTCCCTCTAGGGAGTTATTCTCAGGAATTAGCAGGCCTGCTCTTGTCTTGTCAGCACCACAGTTCCACTAACTCTTCCTTGTTTCTTCTTTTCCACAGTGATGTGGAAGCAGTTGCCAAACTCATTACGAGTTTTCTGGAACTGGACAGAGTAGAGACCCCACAAGATTTCTCCCAGAGCAGCGAAACAGAGGCAAGTGATGCAGATGAACCACAGGTTAAATACTGATAGATGTGAACTGAAGCAAGCAGAGGTTTTCACACATCTGGAAAATATTCTGATTGTTCTTCAGAAAAAGAAATCCCTCACAACCCTGACCTGGGCATTCCTCAACATGTGCATTTACAATGGGTGGAATCTGTCTTAGGGCACATTGTTTAGTGCTAAACTGCTTCAAGACCCTGCATGTGGACACTGCTGGCTTTTGAACTTTGTCAGCTCATCAAACTTGTCTAGAAATAGTTATTTATTAATGAATTGGTTTGAAATAATTGCTTTTCCATTAATGAAGTGAAGATACAGATGTGAACTTCTGCTTACTGCAAACATTTGCTGCAGGTACAGTATATGCGATGTAGGAGGGTTGAATTTGTAACTCATAACACAATACTTGGAGGTTTCCTTTTTAATATATGCAATTAGGAGATGCAGAGTAGTGGCACTTTTATGTTCTCTACTACTGACTTGCCATTGGCTATCTGTGGAAATTAAAGTCTGAGTGCCTCTCTTGAAATTCTAAACATCAGGTTAATCAACCTGTAATGGTGTCTTAACTTATCTCAGACTCACCAAGGAGCCATAAATAGCAGAGGAAAAATGATCACATTGAAATGTCTTTGGGATGTTCTACCTTAATCTTGTTCTGCTTAACTTCTGGGCAGGACAGAACAATCTTTTTGTAGACCTCAATGTTTACTGTTTAAACTGTGTATTTAGAAAGGAAGCAGGGACATGTGTAACTTCAGGAAGGGAAAAGACTGATGTCAAACAAGGTGGTACCTAGAGTTGTTGAGTATTTCATCACTTGAAATGATACCGAAGTGCTAAATAATAACTTTTCTAAGGTAGCTGGCATAGATTAAATGTTTAACTTGTACCTGTGTTTTACTCCAGGTGTGTGGTGTCCTCTGTTCTGACCAATGGTTTCACAAATAGTTAAAATACAAAATTTTTCAAGGTATTTCTGAAGTAAAAGCTACCTCTGTTAATCAACATATTCTGTCTAGAACTAGAACTCCATCATGCTTATATTAACATGTCAGTACAAGAAAAAATTGTAAAAAGCTGCAAGTTCCTTCAGCATGCTTCAGCTGCTTATACTGAAGTTCAGTAGGTTTTATTTAGGAATCTTATGGTCTTTAGACCTGACTTAGAAAATATTTACACAGTTACATCTAGGAGATCTGAACAGGGTACGAGGTAACTGTTGTCTGTTTTCATGGTTGGCCAGCAGCAAATGTCTCCTGGCAGCAGTTTCTTCAGGATTTAAAAGAGCCTGTGTTCTTGCTCCCAATCACTCTACCTCTACAGAGAGAAGGCTTTGGAAAGGTTTAGGTAGAAGCCCCATGCTGTTTGTGTTCCAGTTTGGTCTGAAGCTGAGCACCTGCTCATCTAAGAACAGATTTCCCTTCCTGCCATTCAGAGCTAGGATGTGAGCTGGGAGGCAGAGGCTGTTGCAGTCAGTGGAAGGTACTCACACTGCAGGGACATGGCTGTTGATGTAGCTTGCCTGCAGCACAGAGCTTGGTTTGTTTTCTTTAAATGAGATAAAAAACTTGTAATCAAGTCAGGTATCAGTACAGACCTCTGCCCGTACACATTACTGAAAGTCCTCTGAGTTGTTGGGGTGATCATGGGGCTTTCAGTGCCTACCCCACCCCACTGGAACTGGGAAGCTGCTGTGTATGAACGTGGGAAAATCAGGTTGCAGGCAATTAGCTAAATTTGCCTTTATTCTGAAGCACAGCTGTAAGCTAAGCATAATCATCAAACCTGTTTAAAAAATATTGCAGGGTGTAACACTTTGTAGAGTTCCTCATTTAAATCCACTGTAATGTATCCCCTAGGTGATGCTCATTGTAGAGAGAGGAGAATGAGATTGGGAATTTGGAGAACTCCTTTTTTTTTTTTTTTTTTTTCCCCACAGTGTAAAATGAGAATGATGAGTGTTCTAAGGACTTGCAGTACTGTCCTAGAGTGTGTAATGGTACAATGTAAGCACAAGGGCTCAGCCTGTGGTAGCTGCTGCTTTGTATCAAGGATATTCAGAGGGCATTCATGGTGTGCATTGCACTTACTCTGAGCCCATGGAGTGGACCATGGATAAAACAGACAAAACTGCCTGCCTTCAGTCTTAGCTCTACTGGCTTTCATTTGTATTCCCATGACAGCTGACATTCTGTAAACCATGCTGTAGTTCTCCAGTTAAAAATCAGCTTTTGAGAGGTACGTCTGTTGGTCTGACCCTGCTCTGCATCCTGTGTCCTGCTTCTGCTGAGCTGTAGTGCATCCAGTTTGCTGTGCATTCATGGTGTTAGTCATGTCTATACTTGCAGACTATGCAATATCTTATACAAAGACTAAATAATGCAAGGAAAATTCACAATCTATGGAAAGGGGAATGACCTATAGTAAGATACAGTGTAACTTGAAATGCATCCTGTGCAGTAAATTGCATGTTGGGTTGATGTCAGTGACCACCTCTTAGGAGGTGTTTCCCAGTATCCTCCTCATTCCTTATCCTGCTGTGTTAGGTGGGAGAGGGATGGCTGCTGCCATGCACTGTGTCTAAGAGGAATATTTTGACTCCTCAGCCTTTCCCTCGGAGCAGCTGGTGCCATCCTCTCTCGTGCCATTTCCATTTTGCATTTGGCAGTTGTCACTGTACCAACAAGCACAGTTTCAGTGGGAAGCTGTGTTCTGTAGTCTGAGCTAACAGGATGGGGCTCTGAGGACATTGTGCCAGGCTGTCGGTGCTGCCTGTGGGGATGTGTCAGGCACTGCTGGCTCATCCACCCAGCAGCTTCCTGTGGCATTGATCTCTGTGAGCCTCTGAGCTTGGCAATGGGACACTGCACTGATGTTAGCACAGGCTGCTGGGGTTTTCTCTTGTGTTTCTCTTGATCCACATGTGGAGCTTCTTGCCCTCAATTGCAAGCCCGGGCCAGATGCAATGCAGTAACTGTGTACATGTACAATTAACTTGCAATTGCTGTTCACATGGATTTGGTAATGGCAATGTCTGTGCACTCCTCAGCAGTGGGATCAGCTGAAGAACTGTGAGAAGCAGGTGCAGCTCAGGCCAGGGTCCACTCTTCCCTCTTTGTTGAGTCCTCTCTCCTCCTCCTTTTCTGCCACTTCTCACCATTGTGCTGAAGCCTTTCCTGGATGGTTTTCCTCACTTCTCTTGGGCCCAGCAAAGTCAAAGTAGTAAACAGAGTAAACATGTGCCTGGTGTAAAGTGACTTGGACTCAAAGGAATGATGTGAAAGACTAGTTTTGCTTAGGAAATTAGGTACTCCTAGGAGACTATTACATTAACTTTTGCATCTCAGGCCAGCTAGAGACTTGTGCCTGGACAGCTGTAGTTTGCATGACTTAAAAATGATGTAAAAACCTGCACAGCAGACCTTAGGTTAGCTCTAACATCCTGACCCCCAAAACCAAGCCCTTTTGTCATGTCCTTGACTATAACTGTATGGTAAGTGCCACTTAGCAGATGCCCCAGCTCGTGCTTGAGCAGCACAGTGGCAGTTCCTGGCATGGCTGTGGTGGGATGGGACTGGGGCTGTGGCTGCTGCAGTGAGCAAAAGCCAGAGTGCATCTGTGCAGAGGGAGAGCACTGCTTTGTGTAAGGTGTAACCTCATATTCCTGCACTTCACAGTGAAACATTCCATACCTGGCATCAATTGTGCAAGTCTCAAAGAAAATCCAAATATTTGTAGTTGAGATCTGACTATCAGGCTGTATTTATGGAGTTACACAGATACCAAAACTTCAGCTGGCTCACATAATAAATAAAGAGTGCTAGTTCTGACAGTGTCATAGATGGCTGGGAGGCAAAAATACTTCTGGAAAATGTTTAGAAATTGCCTTTTTTTTTTTTTTACTTTAAAATTGCAAGTAGAATTTCAGCAAGGCCTTGTTGTACTGTCTTTTTTTAAAAACGTTTATTGATAAAATCAACTTTGATAACTTGTTTTGCATCGCTGTAGTATTTTGTATTGTTTTTAATTAAAATTATTAAAATATTAATGGCTGTCTAATTTATTTCTGGGAACAGATCTACTGAAGTAGAGTTAATGAGGGGGAGGACAGACTAGAAGAAGTCCAAATACCTCTTAGAAGTGACCCTGCTGACACTCTTCTATAACAGTCAAGCTTTTAATTCCATATAAGCTGACAGATCCAACTCTCTATTGGTGAATATTTCCATTTTCCCTCCTTTAAACCAAACCAACATGTTACACACACAAAAAAGCAGCACCCTTCTACAAACACTTTGAGTATCAAAGGTTTTATTCAAGTAAAATAATGATCTTGTTTAGTTCAAGTTATGTGACAGTATACATAGCACTTGGTTCTTTTTAGCTAAAGATCTGCATGTGGACCTAGTTACTGAGGCTCTCATTGAGTCAGCTGAAGCTTGTCTTATGCTTGTCTTAAGTTTTACTTTCTGTCTGTCAAGATTTGTTCAAAGAAAATTTCAATACTGGTGCTTCCAAAAAAATTTAAAGGAAGGAATAAATGAAGCACAAAAATAAATATTTTGAATACTCATTGTGGGGTAACATCCTTAACTACCATACTTCTGAATTATTTCCATTTTGGTGATTATCTCAATTCTCAACTAAAGTCCCCAAAATACATTTCTATACATCATGACAAGTTTGACATTAAAGCAGAATAAACCAACATTTTTCCCTCCAAGCCCAGGTGTCACTGCCTCAGGAGCTCCCCCTTGCCCGTGAATGGTAGGACAATTCAGAGCTGACAGGGCAAGGAGTTATGGCAGAGAACACAATGACCCAAACATTTTAAAAAGTATCCTAAATATTAGGGTAGAACTTTCCCAGGTCATTGTTATGTAAGAGTCTGTTGCTACAAATTCTGAATTTAGAAGAAACTGGGGTTTTTTTCTCCTGCCTTGGAGGACAGTGAGCTGTGACTCACTCCTGCATTCTGTTACCCAAGGGGAGTAAACCTGACTTAGAGGCAGGTGAATTAAGGCTCGGCATGTGTTAAGACATGAAAATTGAGTTGAAGTGCTTTATGCTAATAAATTCCTTCATGCCTTCAGGTCACTTTTGTTTAACCACAGTACATGCTTCAACTCTCAGGATGACAAACTCCAGCTCAAGGACTAGTTGCTGATTTTCACTAGTCATTTTTAACCAGGCAATGAGTCAGACTAATTGAAATGCCCCTAATTTTGTGCTTTTATTGCTTCGTCTAAATCATCCACCACTTGCTGCAGCTTCTGTAGGCTGGGGTGGACATTCTCCTCCATCCATTCCTCTATAGCACTCCTGTGGAAAACTTGCTCCATGGCTGCTTGGAGGTCTTGCAGCACAGCATTCCACTTGGAGAGGAGACTGAGCAGAAATGAGAAGGAAAAAACAATGACATTTGCAGGTGAGCTGTGCCTCAGGGGAGGGTTGGCTTACTGGCCTTTGGAAGGGAGTAATGTCTTTAAAACCACTTTACAGGAAAAGAAGCATCTATTACAAGAGCCCAAAGGACTTGATTTTGTTCAGAGGGCAAAAGCTTGATGCTGTTTCTGTTTAAGTCCATTAATCCTGGCACTTTCCTCATGCAAAGACTTTTAAAGTACCAAAATGTGAGCTCAAGAAAACACTATATGCATTTTAAGTGTAACTGAAACCTGCTGTGAGACTTATTGGGAATTTAATTCTGGGTTTCATCAGAAAGAGTAGATGAGGTTGGATATCGACCTTACTAAAAAAAAAAAGTATAAATGAACCTTTTAGTATGAATTGGCAAAATGTCTAGGACAAGTTCTGAAAAGCCCAAGGTGACAGGGAGCAGGGGAAGGGCCTGGCTTTATTCCAAGCCCTGCCTAGAATCTGGCCCAGGGTGAGCTCCTACACCAAGGAGCTTAAGGGCTGTACAGGAGCAGCAAGGGAGAGGCTTTTGGAAACCAGTTCTGTACTTGTTCTCAAATAATTCATTCAACAGAAGGCAGATATAGAATCATAGAATGGTTTGGGTTGGAAGGGAACTTTGAACATGATCTAGTTCCAACCCAAACATGTTGTGTAAAAACATATTATGGACACTTTGTCTGATTCCCACTGATGTTTCTGAGACAAGTATGGAAAGAGGTAAGGGCTCATAACTCTCTGTACCTGAGTGCCCAAAATCTACCAGACTTTATTTCCCCTGTAATGCAAAACAAGTGGTGTTACCTGACTGCATCTGGCTGGAAGTGGTGGATTATGATAGGATGAACAATCTTCCTTTTCCTGTGGTAGGGGCTGAACCAGCCTGTGACATACCTGAAAATGGATGTTGGTGGGAGCAGTGAGGAAACAGCAGCAACATCTGTTTGTCACTGCCAGGGAGGTGGGGAAGGCTTCAGCTGAACTCCTGCACAGACATGGTGCTTAAGGAGTTAAATTTATTTCAGTCTATAGATCTTTGGAATTAGCTTGGGAAAGTGTTCCTGGCAGATGATCATCTGATCATCTGCTGCAGTATAAGTTTCATTTCAAGCTCCTTTCTTCTGTAATTGCACCATTCAACATTTTCATTTTAACTTTAAATAGCAGTAAAATGTAATTAAGGAAAGAGCTAGATGCTTCCAATAAGGCAGCATACAGTATTTAGGAACTTTGCTAAAATATTTTAAGTTTTGATCTAAATATTATGTTCTGCTGAGGTGTCAGTGACACCTGAAATGCAGAGCTTGAAATTTAAATCACTTTTCCTGGAGTTGTTCCCCACTTTGAGATGATACAGCTCCAACACTCCTGCAGCCAGGCAGAGAATCAACAGAAATGTCATTACCTGTTCCTTTCCAGAAGTTCATCCACTGATGACTTGAGGTAGAAACTAACTTGTGTCACAAGAGTGAGGATATTGCTCCCAGGAAAGGTGCCCAGACTTGTGCTGTCCAAAGAGGATCTGTTAGTTTCTGAACTTACCACACAAGGAGAAGTGCACCTGAATTCTGCAGCTGGAATTTTACCTCATGAAAGTATCAACTTCCAGGTTAGACATTCCCAGGAGATTTTCCACATTTTCTTTAACCTTTTCAGAATAGCCACCTGGCAGAAGACAATGGAAATGAGTAAAGGAGCCTAAGGAACCAAAATGTTCATACAAGAGGGGTTTTCTGGATTATTCTGCCTTGGCTTAATAGTTCCTCTTCGATGAAGAATTTTTTAAAAGGTAAAAGGGAAATAAAAGAAGGAAAAAGCATTTGTGGGTGGGAGGAGGAGCTCATTGTCTTTCACACAATTGTCTAGTGCAAAGTGAGCACTCCCTAGCTCTGAGCTTTCTGTTCAGGGTGCTGAATATTTCTAGTGCTTAATTAAAAATCAGTGGGTTGTGGGGGTTTATTTTGAAAATAAGAAAAATTCTGTTGGCAACTCCTGTAAAGAAAGCAGAAATGACAGGAGGTATTTTACCAGACAGTATCCTCCCTAGATCCATTTTAAGAAAAACAATTAATTAAAACAATTTTTACACATGAGCACATTCTAAATCTAAACTAATTTCATTTATTGAGACTAATTTGTTTCAAATCAGTTTGAAAAGCAATTCTGCATCTTAAATTTATTTTTTAATATAAGCATGTAGTTGTTGACCATTTTTATGTTAGATCACAATAAAGAGTATACAATGGCTATTTTTAAATACTTAGGCCAAGAGGTTTTTTTCCCATACTGCAAATTGTAACTTACTGGTCATAAGTCAGGCCATGATCAATTCAGCAAACCACCTCAAAATTAACAAGCCTGGGCCAATCTTAGGGCAAGGTCACTTCACTCCTGTGCTAGGCATTATCTGAGAGAGAATCAAGTTGTCATTGTACCATTCTTTAGTGCCTGCAGACACACGGCCAGTGATGGAATTGCCACAGGGAGAAGCTCACACAAAACAGAGAAGTGATCATACCTATGTAAGAAAATATCCATTAATTACACATTTTACTGTTAGAGCATACTAAACAAGTGGGAAGTTTTAATATTTCAGTCACTAAAATTCAAAGAGCTTTAGAAACATCAGTTTCTGTCTCAGAGATCACTTATCTCTGAAATGTGAAGTATTCCTGTTTTACTCATAAGAACAGATAAAAACCAAATTGTCTTCTCAAGGCAGATTAGGGTCAGAAACTGGACATCAGCTCTCTGGTATTCCCTAAGACCTCCTGACTGCATAAAAATGTTTTATTCATTCATTACATTATTACATTTATTATATTTTATTCAATTAATTACATTATTATATTCTTTACATTCAAAAATTCTCGTCTCTAATGTGATTTCATTGTTTTTGAGTTCCCATCAGACATTCAGACAGACACACCATGCATGAACTACAGTGTCTATGAGGAGTTCAAGGTGGCACAAAATCCATTCAAGCTTTCCAACCCAATCTGCTGTTTGTGGTGTCCCCACATTCATTGTTCCTGCTGGTTAGTGCTGTACAGATAACTGCAGTTCTGAAATCCACCCTTCATAGTCTGGGGCTGAGCCCAGCAGTGACAGACAGGAAGAGTTGCAGGGTTGCAAAGTTGCCTTCTAAATCCCCAGCTTCCCTGTACCTCTCAGGGGGTTTTGGGGGAAAATTTGCTTATCTGTGACCCTTGGAAGCACAAAAGGCTGTTCCTCACCTCTGCCAGCCTGTCAGTGCAATACCTTCGAGGACATCCACGGGGCTCCTGCTGGCCACCTGCAGCCACTCCAGCTGGTTCCTGAGGTGGTGCCCAATCAGTGTCAGAGACTGATTGACTCCCGTGGCTCCCTTGAAGGCACTTGCAAACCACACCTTGGAGAAGCCACACCTGCGGTATTTTTCTACGAGCTGCACTGCAGAGACACAAAGGGACATGCACAGGATGAGCTTCCTCCAGTTTGAGCCCCGACTGCAATGCTGCAGTGAAGGGGAACACAGCTCCAGAGCCAACAGGCTTAGGGATTTGACACCCTCTCTGAGCAGCCTTTTGAGTGGCTGTCCTCCTATTTCCATGTGCCAGTTCCTGTATTCCACTCCCTTGTATTGCTACCACGCTAAGAGCTGTGAGATTGAAATAAGCATGCACAACATGTGACAGCTGATTGTTCCTGCAATAAAGAAGTATTTGCATCAATGTTAGATGCCCACTGGAGCCTTTAAGAGCTTCCCTCTGAATTCTATAGATGTATGAAGCCCTGAAGCTTCTTTTGCAGAGCTGTTCAATAGAGTTATGTGCTCATACTGGTGTTAATGCAATGAGAATTAATGTAACTGCTTGTGGAAAACCTCTGAATCTCCTATCAGTGATTCCACAGCTCTGCTGAAAAGAATTAAGCAGCCTACAATGCAAGTCATTCATAGGGAAAACATAAATAGAAGAAGAAAAAAGTAATAGCAACTATAATGTGAAATGAAACAAGGGCCATCTTTATGCTATTAAAGCAATAAAAAAACAATTCAACAAAACCAACCAGAATGTTTTGTGTCCAGCTAAGGTAGGTTTTAATGACAGAATTTTGCTTTGGCTATTTTGCTTCTACACAGCTCAGCAGGGAAGTACAAACCTTTGCCCTCCACGTCGATGTCTGCTGCATAGTCCCAGATCATGGGCTGCACCAGCTGTGGGACCCCGGACTCTGAAAGGAACAGAGCTCTTCTAAACCAGGGAAAACAGCTGGTTAAGTGAGAACTCAGTACAGGTTAGTGCTGCAGCAACATGTGACAACTATGGCTTGTCACTTAAGCTGACATGCCCCTGGGCATTTTCAGCCTGGCCAGGACTTGGCACATGCCGGGGGCCACTGTCCTCAGGCATCGTGAAACCATTAACATGGAGGAGCAGTGACAACTTCTCAGAGATCCCATTGCCCAAAGCCCATCTCATTCTTAGCTCCTTCCATCTCTCTGTGCACCAGCTGGATTCTCCTGGCAGAGCTGAAAGCTCTACACAGGAGATTTAGCTAAATTGGAATGTACCCCTTCACTTACACAGTGTCTGGGCTGTGTTTGCCCAAAACGTAGCTTTTGAGTACAAGTAAAAATACAAATTTAGCTTTATCTCCTGTTATAATCAACTCCTCAGCTAGTTTTAAATATGTGCAACTGACCCCTAGAGAAACTGGAGTGAACTGCAGAAACTCAGTATTTTAACTCCATCACTTTTTTAATTCGTTTATTCTGTTATTGTGGAAGTAGAGTACACTTAGAGTGCATTAAATACTGTTCTTGTGGAAACTCTGTGGGTCCCACGTACATTTTTGGGGATGATTTCCCACTGTCAAAGCCTTGAATAGGTCAGTCACTGCTGGATGATCTGCACAGCTCTTGCTGGTACCATCTAAATCTGTTTACAGCAGCCATGTAAGGTGGCTCTGAAACAGCTGGAACTCCATCTGTGCTCAGACTACTCAAATTTTAGCAGCCAGGGACTGAGTGCTTCTATTCTCCAGTCAAACAGACCACACCTCAGCTCTTGCCACATTTGTTGTTTTCGTTACATTCATCTGCCAACCAATCTGTTTTATCTGCCTGTGTAAACCTGTCTCACCCCATGGCTGGTCACACACCTGCCAGTGTCTCCTCACTCATGCCCCTGAGCATGTCATCCCACACGATGGGTGTCACCATGGGGTAGGACGAGGCCAAACAAGTAGCAACTGCCTTTATGTGAGATAAGCACAGCTTCTGTGGAGTGTTGTCTTGCTGCTGCAGCCACTGCTTTGACTCCTCTCCTTCGCCAAGGTAGTAGACCTGAAAAACCAAGCAAATAATGTTGACTTTTTGTACAGAAATAGAGAAAGTGAGGTAGACAATATTCAAAACCTTTATCCAGATGTGACCTACTGAGTGGAAATACTCAAAAGCACCTCTCAGTGCTGAAGACACTGCAAGCATTTCTATCAGTCTGCAGGAGATTGTGGCCATGATTACATGCATCACTTGAGGGAATCTTATCTATATCCTTACAGATATTTCCTAAAATATCTATATGCCATATTTGCCTTTTAAATGTTTGTCCTTGGAAGTAGCTCTCACCACATTTATTCACTTCAAATTCAGCAACCCATCAGGACCTGAGGTAGATAAAATGAGGTTCCTGTCTTGGGGAAGATCATCCAAATATGAGTCTAGAAGCAACCTGGGGCCATGTCCAAGGGTGGCCCAGCATACTTGGTCCCGTGCAGAGTGAATTAAAATTTGCTGGTTTAGAGCAGATTTTATTTATTCTACATAAATAGTATGTTGCTTTATAAAAGCTTACAGCTCCCTGTCTAACCTTCCCACCAGTTTCAACACAACAGGATACAAAATGTTAAACTAATATCAGTACAGTTAAGTGGTCATAATGAATCCCAAGGATCTGTGTGCCATCAGGATTGTTTTAAGAAACTATGAGAAAGAGCAGCTTGAGTTTTCTCCTTCTCAAGGTGACAAACTACCAAGGTAAGAAACCCAACACTTCCAACCACAGAAGAGTTTGCTTTGAGTAATTTGACCAGAACAATGAGCCAATATCTTACACTAAACTTACAGGATTCCTAATGAACAGCTCTAATCGATCTCTCACTTCAAATAATCACTTGACCTAAACCCAAATGCTGTTAGCTTTGAGAAGCTTTCATTACTTTGATATTACACTTTTATCTATGGAAATGACAACCTGTGCTACTGGAATAATTTATTGTCAAAAAGATTTTTCTACACTGGCTTAAGTGGTGTTTTCTGTCCCCAAAATCCCACCCAAACTTGGCCTGGGCACCACTGAAATGCAGAAGCCTCAGCCATTGCTATCATTCCTTAAAAGAAAATAAACATTTCTAGCTGAAGAGAAGTCCTACCTCATCACATCCGATGTGAAACCACTGTAAATCCTCGTGCAGGGCCATGACCTGGTCAATCATGGCTTTGACCAGTGCCAGTGACTCCTCCTTGTGTGGGTTCAGGGCATTGGGCAGTGCCTTCACCTCCCGCAGATGGGCAAACTCCCTGTGCTTCAGCACAAACTGCAAGGGAAAGGGGAGCTCGGGGACAGCTGCCACACCAGCAGTGTCCTCCTGTCCCCAAGGCTCTGAGGGCAGGTGTCCTGCTAAACCTGGGTTTGGCTTGACTGAGCCCCAGGGACAGGCTGGGGACATAGCTGGTGCTCCGTGCTGCTGGGGGGTCTCTGACCATGAAGCACCTCACAGGGTGGGTGAAGGAAATGGGGAGGTCACTGCAGTGTGACCCTGATGTCAAATCCTGCAGCGGGCAAAGCTGCATAACCAGAGCACCAAGACTTGGATTGGAAATGTCCCAGCAGAGAATCCCAGAATGGGTCAGGCTAGGAGGGAGCACAGAGGATCATCTGATCCCAGCTCCCAGTTCCAGCAGGGCTGTCCCAGAGCAAAGAGTTGTGTCCAGAGAGCTCTGGAATGTCCCCAGGGAGGGAGACTCCACACGCTCTCTGGACAACCTGTTCAGGGCTCGGGCACTGTACAGGAAGCAGGTTCTTCTTCATATTCAGGTGGAGCTTCCTGGCCATCAGTTTCTGCCCAGAACTGGACACAGTGCTCCAGATGTCACCAGGGCTGAGCAGAGGGGCAGGATCACTCCCTGCCCTGCTGGCAATGCTCTTCCTACTGCAGCCCGACATCCCCGCGGGCACTGCTGGCTCAGCACACAGCTCTGGCCCAGCCCAGCGCTCCCAGCTCACCTCCATGTGCCCGAAGCTCTGCACCAGCGGCACCACGTCCAGGCCCTGTGCCCGCGCCCGGCTCAGCAGCGCCCGGAGCTCCGCGGGGCTGCGGGACAGCCACAGTCAGTGCCCGCTGGGCACGGCCCCGGGGCACCTGCGGCCACCCACAGCTACCTGCGGGGCTCATGGCGCTACCTGTAGGCGTGGGGGGCCTGCAGCCGCTCCAGCGGCCCCGTGTACGGGAAGGTGTCCTCATATTCCAGCAGCAGCCCGGTGGCACCCAGGGCGCGGAGTAGCGGCAGCACCTGCGGGAGGGAGGGAGGGGACACTGCGGACGCAGCTGGGCTGTGACCGCTGCCACCTACACCAGGTACACCCTTCACATGAGCCCAATACATCCTTCACCCGTACCAGGTACACCCCTCACCTGAGCCCAACACATCCTTCACCCGTACCAGGTACACCCCTCACATGAACCCAATACATCCTTCACCCGTACCAGGTACACCCCTCACCTGAGCCCAATACATCCCTTACTTGTGCCAGATAGATCCCTCACCTGCTCCAGGTACTGCGCGCGCGGCGCGGCGCCCTTCAGGTCCAGGTGCACCAGGCGCCGCCGCATGCTCTGGCCTCGATTGCTTTGGCGTGCCGCCGCAGTGTCCCAGCACAGCCCGCCCGGCCGCGCCCCGCTGTCCCTGCCCCGTTGTCCCGCTGTCCCCGTGTCCCGGTGCCGTCCCTCCGCCGCTCCCGGCTCCGCGCGGATCCTCCCAGTCCCTCTGGGCGGCCGAGGGCGTTCCCCAAGCAGGCAGGTCGGCAGGCCAGGCCGAGGCGCGCCGAGCGCATCGCTCGAGGCGGAAGAGGCGTGATGGCTCCGCAGCGGCGGCCGCTGCCCCGCGGCCCCGACAGCGCCGGGCCGGGACCGGGACCGGGCCGCGGGGGCCGCCGGCACAGCAGGTACCAGCGCGGGGCCTTGGCCGTCACCTCCTGCCCGCTGTCCCGGGGGCGGCGTGCCCGGGCCCGGCGGTGCTGCGACTCCCGGGGGAGCCCCGGTGGGGAGGCGGTCGCACAGCGCCGGGTCCGGGCAGGAACCGCGTGTGTTTATACCGCGTGTGTTTGTACCGCGTGTGTTGTGCTCCAAACCAGGGATCCGGGAGGGAACCGCGTGTGTTTGTACCGCGTGTGTTGTGCTCCAAACCAGGGATCCGGGAGGGAACCGCGTGTGTTTGTACCGCGTGTGTTGTGCTCCAGACCAGGGCCCCGCGGGTCCGGGGCTCCCCGGTATCGGCCAGGGCGGTCCCTGCCCGCTCTCACCGTCCCTCGCTCACGGGGCCCGCTCTGTGCTCCTTCCTCAGCGCCAGGAAGGGCAGAGTCCAGCAGGATCCCCGGGGAAGGTGGCTGAAGGCAGCGATCCTCCTCCTCCTCTCCGCCGCGGCCGGTGGCGGCCTCCTGGTCTGGAGCCGCCTCCGCACCCAGGATGGGATCCCCGAAGGTGGAATCCCTGAAAATGGGGTCCCCGAGGGTACAGTCCCTGAAGATGGGGTCACCGAGGTGCTGGCACATCGCAGCGACAACCTGCGGGACAAGTTCGTGGAGATCCCCTGCTCCGAGGACTACGACAGCCACAAGCGATTTGCAGGTAACTGGAGGGAGCTGTGTGCAGTGGATGCTCAGAGGGCAGGGCCACCAAACCTGGGCTGCAGAACTCCCTGTTTCCAGCAATCTCCTGGTCACCGTCTCTTGCCTAAAGCCCCAAATGTCCCCTCAGGCCAGCCCAGAATTTCCCCTGTGAAGCTCCTTTTGCAAAGGCTCTGTGAAATAATAATATTTTGCTAAGTCTGTTTCTAGTTTCTTTTCGTACTCTGTTGATTCCTGTAGCTGATTCCTGTGAGTGAGTTTGCTGCTGGGCAGTACCATACAGGGCATGGAGTGGAACTGATTCAGGACATTGTCCTGTGTGGTGACTGCACAAGTGCCAGCTTTTGACACTCTTGTTCTGAGATGTGTCTGCCAGGCACCAGGGGGGTGCCTGCAAAGCACTTTTCTGTCTATGTGTCTTTCAGCTAAATTCTGTCAAATTGGTATCTGTTCCCCCTGGCACTTATTTCTTTGAAGTGTTGAGGTTGATTCTTCAAGAGACATGGAAGATTTTAATCTTCTCTGACAAAGAGCAGTGAGAGTCTGACCTGCAGCTTCTGTGGATGAGCAGTGCTGATGTTCTCTTCCAGATTTGCAAAGTGTGTTGTGATTAAAGTTTTTAGTTGGTACAGCTGCCAGAGAGCAACTCTGCTCTTGGTTTTTGTCAGTATCTCTGGCTGTATGTTGACTGATTAAGCTGTTGAATCTAAAAAAAAAAAAAAAAAAAAATGGGAAAAAATACTTCAGAAAAAATACTATAATGCTAGGACCTCTGGATGAAGAGCAAACAACTGGAAATCTCTTTATACCAATTCAGCCATTTAAGGCAAGGGGAAAAAAAAAAAAAAAAGTATTTCTGAATTAGTTTTTAGCCAAATTGGTGGTTGTATCTGCTTCAGGATGTGGCTGAGAAAATGCTGACACAAAGCTGGAGGCTGGAGAAAGCTGCTGTGAGCTAAGGAAAAGCAAAGGTGATCAAAGGGCTAGAGATCCTGTCCTGTAAGGAAAGCCCCAGGGAGCTGGGTCTGCTTTCCCTGGAGAAGGCTCAGGGAGGACACGTGTCAGTGTTCCAGTGCTTAAATGGAAGCTACAGAGGACAGAAGCTCTGTCTTTGCAAGGAGCTGCACAGAGAAGACAAAGCACAGTGGGTACAGGTTGCATTGGGCATCACCTTGATATAAAAAAAAATTGTACACAGAGAATACTCAGTCACTGGAACAGCCTCCCCAGGGATGCTGTGACTGAGGGTTTCCAGGGTGTGACTGTAATCTTATCCAGGCTCTCTGGACCACAAAAAGCTGAACCAGATCTTTATAGGTCCTTTCCCACCTGGGCCCTTCTGTAATTCTGCAAATTTTAACTTTCTGCTGTGCCAGTTCTGATAGAGAATGTTTGACAAATTGCAGCCCCCTGTGTTCTTCAGGTGGCTGGTCCTGCTGGTGTTATTGGTTAAAAAAACTTGTAACATAAAAGAGGAGTTTATGTGGAATCTGGGGTCACATAGTTTTTCCTCAGTGCTGCTGCAGCATTTTTTTTTTTTGAGGATTTGCCCCAAATGTTATTTAGGCCAAGAAAACCAATGTCAGGAAACTACCAACAAAAAAACTGTCTTAGTAAGGTAATTTTTTTTTTTTTACAGAACACATGTTCTGTGTTAACTTTTCATAGTTACTATAAGGGGAAAATGCTGCTGGCTGTATTTGTGTAGTACAAGGCCAGAGAAAACTGCAGCTGGTGATTTGGTTATGATTGAACTGGGGCTAAAAGTCTCTGGATTCTGCTACTGTGGTGTTTGCTTACCAAAAGAAATCCCCCAAACCAACAAAACCTTCCTTTTCCCTTCCCTGGTTGCAAGAGCCATTTTTTCAGCTGTGGCCTTGTGGTCTGGGCTATCCCATCAGTTATCCTTTTCATTGTTTGCTTTCTATTCCTCCTTTTTCCTGCTATTCTTTTCACTGTAAGGAAGGCTGGAACATCAAGGGAGGCAGGAAGTTGAAGCACATCTCTCTAGGATTAGGAATGAACGTGTTCTTTATTTTTGGGGGTGTCATGGGGAGCAGCAACAAGTGCTGACTGCAGGGTGAGGTCTCACTTCTTGGCTTGGATGGGGATGATTGACTCACCTTTCTAATTAGGTGTTTGCTTGATGCTGCTGCTTGAATTCTGTGATTGATTTGGGATTTTAGCAGAGGTTGTGACCCTGCTTTCTGAGGATGGAGCTGTTAGTTGGTTAATTAAAGCTGAGCTGTGATAAGAGCTCTGCCTGAACTTTTCCCCACGTGAGGGTGGTGATGAGCTGCAGAGGAGTTTGTGTGTGTCCCATTCCCCACAGCCCAGCGAGGCAGAAAATGTGGATTATGGATCAGCGTGGCAGCTCTAGGCACTTGGGAAATGGGTTTCTGTCACTCAATAGCTCTTCATTCTCAGTCTTTAGCCTGGTTTGGCACCCACAGCTGCAGGCTCTGTGTCAGGAGGAGGCACATTCCTGTCACCACTCAGTGTCTGATGCTCAGCTGTGAAGTTTCCACAGCTAAAATGAGCTTTTTATTTATGCACCTGTCCCTGCTTCCAGCTGAACTTGGTGCAACTGAGCTTCCAGTTTGCTTCAAGTGATTTGGTAGCTGGTGTTAGAGCAGGATTTATTTCCATAGCACTGCCTGCCTGTAAACATGCTTCATACCAAATAAAATTTGCTGTTTTTCAGAGGCCAAGCACTTAACTTACTATATTTGCAGAAGGTAGGGTGTTATGTGAGAACATAGCACCTGCATTCTAAACTCCGTGGGCAGATCTTGGCCATTTCTGCTCTCCTGAGGCACTATTAACTACTTAAACCTACCGTGGCCACCGTGTATGGTGAAATCTTATTTCTGCTGTGTGTTGACATTTTGTGTCAGTGCACAAAGCATCTGTGATCACTGCCCAGGAGACAGAGTTTAGGTGCTTTTCCAGAGACAAGGCCAGGGGATGTGGAAAGCAGAGATGCCTGGAAAGGTCTGACTCAGACTGCTCTGGGGATGGCAGCTGTAAATCTTTGCTCTTGTCTGGCTTGGAGAGGGATTGTTCCCTGCACAGGGCAGGAGGTGGAATGAGATGATCTCCAAAGTCCCTTCCAACTAAGCTGTTCTATGATCCTGTGCCTCAGGGGAAAATCTTCACAGAGCTTTTATCTCCTGTGAATTCTCTCTGTCTCAGTAGTGAGTGGTTCTTGGCTAAATATCACTGAGCAGGAGACACAGCTGCAGTTTGGGTGTTTGGTCCTTTGTGTTACATTCTGGTTTTTGTGCTGAATGAGAGCAGGGGCCAGTGGCTGTACTTGTGTTTTACATGTTTTGGTATGTTTCTCCTTCACTTTGATTTACCTGATAGCCAAAGCTGATGGTGCCTTATCAGATAAAGGGATGGATTTGTGTCTACTGGGCACAAATCTGTGGAAGCTACCAGGTATTTACAGTACTAATCTGAATTTCTCCTGAGATTCTCCAGGCATGCCTTTGACACTTCCTTGCTCACATTTGCCATGGTTTCTGAGACAGAGGATGCTTTTCTTAGTGCTGAAATCGTTTTCAAACAGACTGTTCTGATTTTTCCTTAGCATTCACTCAGTGTTTGTGCTGTACTGTTGGTACCTCACTGGCATTCTTCTGTTAGCTGGAGTTTTTTTTTTTTTCTCCATTTGGGAAAGTTTATGCTGTTGCTTTCAGAGCACCTCCTGCTTCCAGTACTCTGCCAATTCTCTGTCAGAGGCCCCAGCCATTGTCTGAGGTAACCCTGTAGTTTTACCAAGCCTGGACTCTCCAGCACTGGTCTTTCCAAAAGGGTAAGAGCTATATTTGCAGCTGGAAAAGGAATAAATCTCATCTGAAATCACAAATCTTTGCAGAATGTTGTGGAAAGGAAGCTCTCAATAGCCAGGTTTGTCCTGGAGTATTGAATTTCTCCTTTAAGTTTATTCCTTCTTAGCTCTACTTGAACACCAGCTTTATCTTGCATCCCACCTGAGACATACCTGGGGTATATCCAGTAATAGGAAATGGAAATTCCTACAGAATTCCTGGCAAAACTTCTCCTGTCAGCCTGGTCATTGTTCTGAGTTTCTTTTGATCAGAGCAGAGTGATGCTTTTGTCCTCCATGGGTGAATTGATTGATTTCTTTCCAGGAATTTTGTGTTCTGATGACTACATAGTTCTTGAAGTGACACTCAGTTCAGGAGCACTGAGTGTGTTGGCAGGTTGCCCATCTCTCCTGGGGCTTTACATCTGTAAATGGATTTTTCTCAGAAAAGTGCCAAATGTAACATCCCAAGGTCTCTGGTGGCTCAAAACTGATTTTATTTCTTCTTTTTGCCTGAAGATTGTTGTCAACCAGACTTCTAAGAGCTTTCAAGTATTCTTCACCTGGAACTCTTGCTGCTGACTTGTTATTCCCAGGAGCTTTTAAAATTTAATGTTAGTTTTCTTAGCAATGAATTTTAGGGAACTTTTTAAATCTTACATATCCGGGCTGTGTGCTTCAAGAGTGACTTCAAGAGAGACTTTTTTTGCAAAGTTTCATTTAAAAACCTGCCCTTCAGGTGGTTGAAGTGGTTTCAATGGGTTCTTTTCCTCCTCTTTGTGTTGCAGGTTGCACTCCTAGGAAGTGTGGAAGAGGTGTGACAGATGCTGTAATCACAAGGGAAGAAGCTGAAAGAATTCGTAGGTAATTTTTCTTTTAGCTCTAACTTTTAAAAGCACTGACTTTAATGACATTGTGCCAACCTGAGGTGTAGGATGGGTGAGCAGGATGGGTTAGAATGATTAAAACATGAATTTTTTGTTATTAAAGCCATTTTCCATTTTTGCTGTAGTGAGGGCAGTTTCTTTCACACAGAATCTGCCTGGCTTTGAGGGGCATGAGCACTTCACAGCAAGCAAGGAGAATGAATTAAGTTTTAATGGATTTTCACTTGGCCTCCATTTGGCCTGGAAAAGCAGAAGAAAACAATGGAAGCCTTATTGCAGCTGCTGCTGACCCTTAGTCCTCTGTGAAGGGACTGTTTTTAGGATGTTTTTGGGATTTGTGGACGGGAGCTGCAAGTTCAGAAATCTTCTGCAACCCAAAAACTTTATTTTCATCCCAGGCTGGAATGTTCAGCTTCAAATAAATGGGAGCTGCTGTTAACTCAATTGGGTTATACCTGATGCATCAAATAGCACTCTCTGAGGAATTACATGTTGTAAATAAGGATATTAAAGGACAAAGTAATCAGACTTTGGTTCTCATCTGAGATTATTGTTTTGCCTGCAGAATAGCAGAGAGGGGACTGTCCTTGGGAGGATCTGATGGAGGGGTGAGCAGTGTCTTGTTATTTTCTACATTCTTTTACTGCCAAGGCAAGATTATAAATGCATTTTTTGGGGATGAAGTGAGGAGATGGAGAATTTTTCCTTTCATTCAGACTTGGAAAAAAATTGATTTTGGGAAGGTCTTTCCCATTAATACTTCTGCTAGCAGTGTAACTCCTGACTTCTGCAATACAGTTGCCATTTCCTTGGGTGTAATTATTTCTAGCACCTCTCTTGAACTGATTTTTTCTTCATCTGGAAACAGTTGCTATAGCAGAACTGCCCAGGTTTGTCTTCTGAAAGTAAATTACAGTGATTCACAGCATCATGTAAGGATTGATCTTGTGTAATGACAAAAAAAAACATGCAATGTCTTAGGTAGCTGTTGCAATAATATTCTTTAAATTGAAAGAATCCCACTTCTCTTTAACTAGCATTATTTTGATTTCTTTCCCCCATATTTTTTCTCAGAATGTTTTTGTGAATGAACAGGAACTGTTTCTTGAGTATTTGTAAACAGACACTTCTTTAAGCCTCTGCTGAATTAGGGCATATATTAGCAAAAAAAGAAGGGTTTCAGTGGAAAAAAAAAAAATTTATTGTCCATGTGATTGCTGAGAAAGATCTGCAAAATATATAAACCAAGAAATGTAAGCAGTGCTGCCCATCTCAAACAATTTGTTTAAAAGATTTAACTTTTTGTGTTCTGTTCTGTTGGGATCTCCCAGATTTTTTTTTTCAGTCCTGTGGTTGCAGAATTTGCCCCTTTCCCTGGATTTCTCTGCCTGTTGGGATCCCCAGTGTGGCTCCTGGGGCTGTCACCTGGGTTTGCTCTCCTCTGCTTTTGGGACCTAGGTGGGATTTTTCATTACACTCCTGCAGAGAGGGATTAGAATGGTGAGCTGGAACACACAGAGCTTGGCTCTGGAGATCCACAGAAAGTCATTGGCCAGCTGGGGGTCAGGAACTGGGGAAACTGAGGCACAGAAAGCTGGGAGGAGATGAGAGGGGGAGGTAAACTTGCTGCCTAAAGCCCAGAGCTGGGCAGGGCTGCTGAGCTGGCTTAGTTGGACAACAAGCCAGAGTGACAGACAAATAAAAATCCATCATCTCTGTTACTTTGGAAGCTTCATTTTGCCTTTTTTTTTTTTTTTTTTTTTCTAAAGGAGGTAAATGAGAGGGAAAGATGATACTCTCTCTCTCTGTGCTATAAAATAAACCTGTTAAAAATCTGATGTCCCTGGAGAGGTCTGGGCTCTGAGCCAAGCCTTCTCACATCTCATCATCTGTAAATGTGAGGAAGTTCTTGTGTACTCTTAGTTCTTGGGGAAAGGTTCAAAAAGAAAGTGTAATGTTGTATTGAGCACCTAACCAAAATAATGGATACAAACTGAAAGATGTTAGAAACAAGAGCTGGCCAGTGTTTCTGGGAAATTGTGAGTCACAGAATGGTTTGGGTTCCAGCTCCTGCCATGGGCAGGGACACCTTCCACTGTCCCAGGATGCTCCAGCCTGGCCTTGGGCACTGCCAGGGCTCCAGGGGCAGCCACAGCTGCTCTGGGCACCCTGTGCCAGCCCTGCCCACCCTTACAGGGAACAATCATATTCAGGAGAAGCCTTGGAACACACTCTCCTTACCCAGTTTCTTTTATACCTCCTTCTCCTGTCCTGCCTTTTTCCTCTTCCTTTCCCCATGTGCCAGCCCATATTCCTGCTGTCATGGTGCAGATCTTGTCCTGCCAGTGCTGTCCTGCCTCTCTCAGATACCATTGGATCCTGCTGGATGGGCTTTAGATGAAACTGTGTGTCTTCCTGTGAGCCTCTCATCTTTTCCAGTCTCTTAGCCACAGAGAATAAAGAATATTTCAATCCTTACTCCATCCAGCTATGTCTGTGTGCTCCCAGGCTTCCAGCCCCTTGGAGTACACCTGGCTTGTTGCTTTAAATTTCTTTGGCTTTAGAGTGTTTGGATAATTCTGTCCAATTATGTCTGCTGTAAGACTAATTTTTCCTTTAAAATACCTCAAAATTTTTCAGCTTAATTATTTTTAATTCTTACTTTAGCCACTTTGTTCTCTTTGCTATTTGAAATAAAACTTCTGCAGGTTTCTATTGGGATTCAGACTGCATTGTCATTGCCTGGGATTTCCTCTTAACCCCTTTGTAAGCAGCATGTCTGGGTTTTTGTCATATTGTTATATTTTGAATTCTCAGAAGTGGATTTGTGTGTGTATCTAGATATAATTTATTAATTTAAAGGTCTAAACTTGCAGTTTGTGACTTTGTCAGTTCTCTCCTCCCTTAGTTTGCTGCCCTTCCCTGGAGTACTGGAGCATAGCACCAAAAACTTGTTTCCCATTCCATCTTTTTATGTTGAGAAAGTCTTGACAAACATCTGAATTATTGAAGGCTCCCAGGGGTCATGTCCCCGTTGTCATACTGAGCTTTCTTATCTTCCTTTGTAACTTTTCCTGGGTTTATATTTATTTATGCAGACACACACAGAGTGAAGCTAGAGGGGCCATGGTAATCTTCTGGTGTAACTTGCAGCAGAATCCAAACAGGAATATTTTCTCTACCAGCAAGCTGCTTTCCCTTGTACATCTGTCTCTGTAAAGTCATTTTATACTCTTCCTTATTCACAGAATGGGAATTGCATTAGTTGTCTTGATGTTTGCCTCAGCTTTTTTCTTCTTCATATAGATAATATTTCCCTTTTCAACCTTCTATTATTTTTGTAATTCTTCCATCCCTGATATTTTTCTGCACATCACCCCCACTTGTGTGAACACTTCAGTCCTGACTCATTCTCTCAGGTGTTGCAGGTGTTGCCATCATAGCAATCCTCTGGTGTAAATGAGACAACTCATTCACTATCACACTTATTTGTATTTATTTCAAAGCCCCAGGAAGTAAATCCCTTGGTGAGCTGTCAGCTGCAGTCTGTGTCCTGCCTTCCAGCAGAGCTGGCAAGAGTAGGCACCCAGACCTCCCTTTGCAGGGGAAAATTAAATTGTTTAGTCACTGGAAGAAACAAACAAACTGTGTGATGCAAAACAGGGGGTTCTGCTGTGGGCCCTGCAGCCCAGTGATTCTGCAGACTTCTCCTTGTTCTGCTTTCAGCCCTCCCAGCCAAAATCTGAAATCCTCAAAACGCTGCCAGCTCTGCCTTTCCCTGTGCAGAATCCCTGTCCTGTGTCAGAGCTCTGCTGCAGAGTTCTCTTCCTCCCTGATGAGCCTCCTGGTAATGCACAGGGAACACTCAGGGCTGAAAAATGCACTTGGCAGCACCTTCCACCTCCCTCCAGCTCTGTGTTGCTGTGATTACCTTGGCTGAGCTCCAGCAAGCTGGAGAAGGAGCTGGTTGTGTCCAGTCTGTGTCTGGTGTCAATTTGTGCTGAACTCTGCAGCCAAATGCTGCATTTACCTTCCCCAGCAGTGACCTGAAGCTCCCCCAGGCTGGATGAGGTGAAGCTCAGGCTGCTCACCCTCGTGTGTCATTGGAAAAGCCATTTCTCCAGGATCACAACCCTTGTCTGTCTGCCCGTGCTCCAGGGAGGGAAGGGTGTTTGAGTGGGGTGGCTCTGAAAGGGGTGTGCAAGGCTGCCTGCAGCGACTCCACCTTTGGTAGCACCTCCATTCTCATCCCTCTTCTCAGCTGGGCTGGGGGAGCATCCCCACAGGAGCTCTGGGGAGGGGCTGGAAGCTGCCAGCTCCTCTAAAACTTCTTATTTATTTCTAAAGACAAGTAGAATTAAGGTTTTCTCATTTTCCTCCTTTGAGTAGTCTGGCTGCTGCTTTGCTTTCAAAGTGTCACCTAAAACCTTTTAGAGGCTGGAGGAACTGGTGTGGATGTGAAGAGGTCTTTAGAGGCTGGCAATCAATCCCTTTTAGTGAGGAGCAAAGGCAGGGCCTGCCAGGCTTTCCAAGATGGAAATATTGATCCTTTTTGCCATAAGCTGAGAAGTGCTGGGTACTTGAATATTATTTTAGTAGTAAGAGGGTGGAGAATATGGGACTAACAGTGGTGAAGGTCCAGAAGAACATGTTTGTACTTCCAAATTTTTAAAAGAAAGTTCTATTTCCCTTCTATAGAGAGATCTGTAAACCAGGATATGAGGGTAGTTCTGTCAACCAGTCTCTCAGAAATAGGGGTGTGGGTGTGTGTTTGCCGTTTTTAGACAGACTTTGTGGGCTTTTCAGCCTGGGAACATTGTCCTGAATTGCAGGCTGGTCCTTGATCAGAGAGAAGGACTTGAAGTAATCAAGATTTTATTCTCAGTGTCAGAAATGATGCTGAAAATGTTTCATATTCTGAAATGACAGAGGCCAAAATAAATGTGTTCCTGTTTCTTTCACAGGTATCTGTTAAGTAAAGAGCTCTGTGCTCATGTGTAAGAAAGTCTCTGTCTTGGCATTCAGTTGTTTTCCCCTGTCTGAAACAGCCCTGCAGAATATTCTTTCTTTTCCAGGTTCCCTCTTCAGCCTTTATCTGCTTTTCTAAGCTTTATGTTGTAGCTATTGCCTTCTCAGCTATGAATAACTGCAGTTCTTGGGGCTGTCTTATATTAATTCATTTTGTTATTTTGCATCTTCCCAACTGTGATCATTTGGAGCTTGGGGAGTGAGAAGAAATGTGTAAGTTTGAAAAGGGTATGGAAAGAGTTAGAAAGACAATTTGTTTTTTAAGTTAAATTCATCTTCTTAACTGTGTTGTGCTACTTCTTATAATCTACTTTAATATGGTCACAAACATATTTTTGAAGCAACATAGGAGCAGTTTTACTTCTTTTAGCTGTGGCTTAGATTTTTGTACAGAACCAGAAACCAATAGATGAAAGTATTTTGCTTCTGAAGCTTGAGTAAAGTTTGATACAAGAGCTGCTTTTCCAAGAGTATGAGATTCACTTTTTCCTTAAGAGTCCTCTAAAGCTTTTGGAGAACAGTGGGAAGGGAAGATCTGAAAACCTCATATTCCAGTAACTTGTTGCTTTATGCATTTTTCAAGGGATAAATCAAGTTATTTGTGCAGGTTTATTAAAAAAAAAAAAAGTTATTATCTCTTGTAATGAGAGCTGTTAGTGGGGTTCAACTCTGGAGCTCAGAGGAATTGAGACTGCAGAGATTTTCTAAGGGACAATGTTATGGGTGTGTGTCACCAGTGTTATTACTGCTGGGATTTTGTTAGAATAATGTGAATGGTCTGTGGTGCAGTAAAACAATGCCAAATTCCAAGATGAGTGCCCAGATACTGTACATCAGAAACGTCATTACTTCAGTGACAGTCAGGTTAATTAACTGGTGCTCTTTGACATTTCCAGTGTAAAAGACAAAGAGACTTCTATCAGACAGTTGTATTTTTTCATACTTTTAAACTGATGCAGAACGAACTTGTATTTTGTGGACAGCAAGGGACATAAAAAGTTTACTTTATTCAATTTAGAGAAGCATTTTAGAATCCTTAGAGGTAGCTCTCTCTTCTGGCAAATCTGAATACTAATTCTTTGCAGCTTGTTGGGAGCTCAGCAGAAGAGTTTGGCTTGAATTGGATGAAGAAATGTATTTTTCTATTTGAAAAAACTTTTCACTGTGTGGTTTTCTTTTACAGCAGCTTAGAAACTGAGGAAAAGAAAGTTTGGCCCTAGTAAGCCTTGGAATTCTAATTGTACTTTTAAACAGACTTTTTAATGTCTGTATTAAATATGAGAAGTACACAGGATCTCATGGTGAAGGAGAAATTTTAATAACAAATGCAGGGCAAGATAAATATTAGTGCTGCTACTTGAGCACTTCACATCTACTGGAAAATGAATCATCTTTGTGTGGAAGGGAAATGTCTTCAAGAAGGGATTGTGGCACTCAGTGATTTACCCCCAGCCCCTGGGAGGAGACTCTGGCAATTCCCTGTCAGGACTGAACCTCAGAAATAGCAGTACCATGGGTTTTTCTCATTGTACCTTAATAATCATCTCTGCATCTCTGCAGGGATCTGAGGGAGGTTTGTCATTGTGAAATAAATCTTATATTGGGAACCTAAAGGCTGGAAACTACTTTTACTTGGGAGGCTGTGGAAAGTGAGAGGCAACTTTAATAACTTGGGACAGCTATTAAAGGTCATAGTTAAATAATGCTAAAACCTTTTCATGCTCATTTTTCCTTCTTTGTTTCCTTTCCCAGGCATCAATTTTGGACCTGCACTCTGGAGCTCTTTCCCTGGGGAAGCATTTTGTTAATCTGTACAGGTAAAATGGGGCTGTGGCTTCCTGCCTCCTGTCACCCCATCCCTTCCCTGCCCTCTGCCTCTGCCAGAGCCCCCAGGGTCAGGGATGAGGAATTGTGGAAGTTGGCTGGATTCACCACAGTGTCCATGACCAGTTAAAGAGCTTTCCTGGCATGAAAATGGATCTTTTGTTGAACTGGGCACTTTGAAAGCTGCCATTATCTTTATTGTTATGTTCTTGCACCAGTTGATCATAGTATTTTTCACAGTTACAGTTTAGTTTTTCATCAGTGGATGAAATCAAATAGCTTGGAGCCTTAAAAACGTGAATCCATGTGCTTATTTCATGATGTGAGAGGGGTCTTTTTTAATGCCTGAGGAATGCCATTACCAATTGCAGCATTTCAATCCTTTAATCTTTTAACATTTGATTTTTTAGCATTGCTTTTGGACATTGTTCTCAAAAGCATTTGTAAGATATTTTTGTGTTGTGTTCTCACTTTTGGATTGTGGGTAAAGCACAGGTGGGGTGAGAAGGTGTCTTGTTGTTGCTCAGTCTGATTCACCAGCTCCTCTTTTAGACTGTTGTTTAATTTTTCAGGTACTTTGGGGACAAAATTCAAGACATCTTCACAGAAGAGGATTTTGCATTATACCGGTAAAGATTTTCAGTAACTGCTGAATGAGCCACAAACCAGAACTTTTTATGGTTTTGAGTTTTTTACAGAGTGCAGGCTGGGAGGGGAGGATTGCCCTTTGTATTCATACACTGGATTTTGCAGCTCAAAATAGTAATATCTGAGAATTAAGATGGCTTGAGGAAGAGAAATAAAAAGACTTTTTGATGACTGAGAGACAATGTTTGAGCTGCATCAGCCACATCAGGACAGTTTTATGGTGTGAATGTGTTTAGGGTGATGGCAGCACCACAGCTGCTCCTCTGAGCTCTGTGGGGATCTGCTGGAAGCTGAGAGCTGGGAGGGAAAATCCTTCCTCATCACCTCCTCTTTCACACATTATCCAGGGGGTTGTGACATGATGGGGACAATCCTGGGCTGTTATTACATCAGGAATTTGGGATTTTTTGAGGCAGAGCATAGCAAAACATTAAGAATGGTAAAGCAGGAAGTGGAAGGAGTTGAGATGAGTCATGTTGTGGCTGGAGAAGCAGCCAGAGGATGAAATAATTCTGTCAGGGAGCAGGGATGCTCTCAGCTTTCCTGCAGCCCTGCTCATGCACTTAACAAACACAACAAACCTAACGATGTCCATGTGGCTGGGAAGGTGTGTGGCCAAAGCTGAGCAACAAGCATTCTTTGTTGACTAGACACAATAATTCTTTTGGCATTTTGGTTGGTTTCACATAATTCAGACTGTCCTTGATTTGAACATTTTAACTTTTTTTTGGTCTTTTTTTTTCCTTGCCTATGTGAAGGAATCTGACCTCCCTCTAGTGGTGGAAGGAATGTTAAGTAGCCAGATGGATTTATTAGTTTTATTAAAATAGTAATGAATTAATATAATCCTACAACATTAATCACTTTAAGCTTATTTCTATTTAGCAGCTGTTTTTAGTTGTCATTGTATTTACAGATGAACTTAAGATATTTTTACTTCTGATCCCAGTATTGCAAAATTAGATGATTCCTTGATTATTATTGAACGTTGCATAAAGAAAATGTGTAATTTGTTTCATGTGAACAGAAGCATTCAATTTTTCAATAATTTTATAACTTTGTGCAGTGAGATGTGACAGCTGCTAGGGAATGTCAATATTCCATTGGGATTTTGTGCCAATATAGGGGTTGTTTCAGTCTGCTGGATATGAAGCTAATACAAAATATATTATTAAATGCTTCTGTTCCTATTAATGGCAGTGCTTAAACATGGACTGTGGTACTTTATGGCCTTAATGAATGATTTTATGTTATTTTTGGGAGCATTTATCTTCATTACTGTCCCTTACCTACCAAGGTCACTTTAGAAATACTCTCTTGAGAGAAATAACTGAATGTAATCCATGTCTAAGTATTACTGATTGCAACAATAATGAATCTGAGAAGGCATCCTGAGCCAGGGGGCTGATTTCTAAACTGTCTCTGTCAAAATTACATTGCTTCAGACTCGATTATGCTTTCTAGGCTGATACTTTAACCACCATCTGCCAAGCACATTACAGCAATCCCTCTTGTTCCACATAATAAATGAAATGCTTATTCAGAAGGGAGATCTTTAATCAGGATGCTTGGTGGAAGGGGTGAGTTGAGCAGAAAAGAGCACAATCAAAGATTTATTCCCAAAACCTTACAGGTGATAAAGGCAGGGAGAGGAGGAGCTGTGAGTTTATTTTCTGCCTCTGTCCTGTGTGTGATTGCTGTTAAAGCTCCCAGGCTGCAGGAGGCCTTTGCTTTGTCAGCTCCCTGAGACAGTGCTGACAAGTGGGATAATCAGAAGTTGTGTGGGATTGAGCTTTGAGTGTTCCTGTCACTGTGATTGAATCACACTTTGTAGTGGCTCCTAACTGCATTTTTTTGGTGTTGCTCTGGCAGAGCCTGTCTCACAGAAATTTTCAGTGGCACTTTCAGCTGTCTGTGCTGCTGCTGCTCCATTAAGCTGGCAGCTTTGCAAGCTGCTGAACTTCCTTTCTCTCAAGTTGTGTGTTACTTGGATTCCAGCTACTTCATTGGCTTTTTAAAATTTTCTTCCTCATCATCCTAACTCCAAAACAGTAACTGCTTTTACAGAATCTGGTAGTGATGTGCTCCTTTCAGGGAGTTCTGCTCTGCCTTTCCCTGAGCCTGGTGTGAGCATTTTGATATTTTCCAGTGACTCAGTGCCAGTGGACAAGGACTGCTGCTGACAGATGTGGGGGGAGCATTAATTTGGTCCTGATGCTGTTCTGGGCATTTATTGCCCCTGCAGAGCTCTGTTGTTGCAGATGCTCAGAGCCAGGACACACCTCAGCAGTGGGAATGAGCCAAGAGTTGCTGTGCTTGTGGAATCAAGTGCTTGTATTCTCCAGCATGAAGAAGTATTTTCTTTGTAGCCATAGCTCCACCAGAACTCTCCCAGCAGTTTTGAAGGGCCAGTGGGCCAGGAGCAGTGAGGGAAGGGAGGCTCCTGCTGCTTCTGGGTCACAGAGGCTGAGGGAGCAATGTGGCTCTCCCAGGTCTGGGTCCTTCATTCCTACCTTGATTGCACCTTCTGAGCTGAGATTTGGCTTCTCTTGTCATTTGGTTTACACATGAAGGACAGTGTTTTTGTCTTTAAGTATTTTGCCATTAGACTGTGTTTGGAACAGCAGGGAATGGAATGAAAAACCTGCAGTCATGATATTGATAAATGTTGAAATGGCCTGGCCAGCAGAAAACAGACTGCACAGAAGAGTTTTTCTAGGCTAAAAAGTGACCTTCTTCTACTTTTCAAACCAGATGCATGCTGTATTTGGCTTATTGAGTAGGGCTTTGCATCCTGTTTGGTTTGTAAAACACACATTGTGCCCAAAGCACATCAGTCTCCAAGAGGAGTGGGGCTTTAACAGAGCCTTATAAACACCAGACAGCAAACCTTAATAGAAAGCTTTTAAAAGTGGGAAATGAATCAGGCTGAAAGAAGAGGGAGGACTTCTTGCAGAGCAGGACAACTGCTGGAGATTTAGTTATGTCAAGACTGTGGCCTGAGTGCTTGGGAGTGGATTTATGGATTTATTCCTGGCTGATCCAGGGGCCAAGGAATCAGCTGCTCTGGTGTTTGTGGCTATGAATTCTTGAGCTGGCTTGTTCAAAACTCTCAATTCACAAAATGAATAATTGCATTTAATGCTTTCTGGGAGCCTTTCCTTTCTCTCCTTTTCTCTCCCTCTTTTCTTCTTAAGGCAAAATAAGATCTGGGTGTGTTGCCCATGGTTTCTCAGCTGAGGAAGAAGCAGTAACTGAAGAACACAGCAGGAGGGAGGTGTCACTGACTGAGCTCTGTGTGATCTTTGCAGGGATGTGAGGCAGAGGATTCAGCAAAGGATTGCTCAGGTGTTTGGTATCAGCTCTTCTGCCATGTACCTGACCAAGCCAACCTTCTTCTCCAGGATGAACAGCACAGGAGCCAAGACAACACACGATGAGTACTGGCACCCACACGTGGACAAGGTGAGGAGGAGGCTGAGGTGGGATGCAAACATCTCCTGTGATTATTATTCTTATTATTCTTATTCTTATTATTATTATTATTATTATTATTGTTATTATTAAATCACCTTGAACAGTCCATCAAACAGGTTTGAAAGCTGGTGCTTCAGGGGATGGACCTAATGGGAGATCAGTGAGTTTTAGAAACACAGGCTGTTACATCCCATTCAGTTTTATTTTCTCTAATTTAGTTTTGTTAGAATTTGTGAACTGTAAGAATGACTACTCAAGAATCTCTTTGGTCAGAAACGTTAATTAAAATGACCTGAATTGCTCTTTCAGCCAGATCTGGCAGGAGCTCTTTCACAGTGGTCAGTTGGTCACTGTTGTTACTGACCTAAGGCTTAATATTTCTATTTCAGCTATGTGTGAATTGAAGGTTTTTTTGTGTTTCAGTGGGGATGTAGTACCTGGTTCCCTCTTTCAAGAACTTGGTGTTTGATCCTTTTAACTGCACACTCTTATCTCTAGGCTTATAGCTTAATACTTGGCATTTCTCAATGGACTTAAATGATTTGCTATTGAGTTTATTTCTGCATTTCACTGAGTTCAAGCATTCTGTACAGAACACCAGAATACAAACAGTGGAAGAATCAAAGAATAAAAAGCTCCACAACAAAGAAAAGTAGCCCCTCCCCTCCACAATACCCACGTTTCATGCCTTCAGAACTTATAAATGAGTCACTCTGGAGTCATGGATTACCCACAATAGAACCAAATAAAATAATCACAGCAAAATCCAAGTTATTCCTCAGAGCTCAAGTCTGTAAGTGGGCAGTGTACCTTGAAGTCTGTGACCTGAGACATGAAAAAATCAAACAGAAATATTCCTTGCCTTAAAGTATTTCCTGGAAAAAAGCCAGTTCTGAGGGAAGTGTCTTTTGTTGGTACAACGTTGGTGTGAGTTCCTGTGTCCTCTTTCATGTGGGCAGAAGCAGCTTAGATTTAGAAAATGTGGTGGTAGTGATGACACAGCTTATGTTTGGAAGCAGAAAATCCTGTAGGGTGGAATCTGCCAGGTTTTGGATGCCTCTGGTTTGAAAAGTTAGGATGTAAGCAGTGAATAGGGATGGCTTTGAGGCCCAGATTGTTTTGTGTTGGTAGGAAATGGCTGTAGGGAGAGACTTGTGCTGGTGGGGTTCACAGAAATTCCATCACGTTGTGCTCAATTCCAAGAGACCCTTGGGAAGAAGGAAACTGGTGATTCTGGTTGTGTGAAGTGCAGTGAATTCATCAGTTTCTTACAGTTTTTCCACAGTTTCAGAGAATCACATTTGACTGCCACAAGGGTGAGAAAAGCAGTGTATTTCAACAGCTGATGCCTATTTTCTCAACTCTTTTATTTCATCCCCAAAAAAGCCTATTTTAGAATTTCAGACTCTGGTTTATTACTATAATGAGATTTGTGTCTGCACAAGCCCTGCTTGCCAGTATTCTCTTTATTTTCTCTACATGTATTTTGCACTGGGAAATGAATAAGGTGGCTGGATAACCTCTCAATTAAGTGTTTCCACCTAAATTTCTCCTATAATGGACAAGCTATTTTGTCATTTACATGCAAATAAATTTACATGCAGAGAATTTGTGGAAGCTACTTTTCTATCCTGTCATTCTGAGAGTGCCTAAATGTGATGGACAGCAGGCTGAATGTTTTCCTGTTTTTATCCTTCTCTTTTGTCCATGTTTTATTTATCTTGCAGGCTGTCTGTTCAGGGAGCAGATACATCAATTGATTTGCCTTGGCTTTTTCTAACCCATCTCTGGTTTAAAAAAAAACCCAAAACAAGCAGGAAAATGCTCTCTTAGACTTGGAATGCATAATCTAGACCTCAGGAGTGTCTATACTGAATAACTGGGTTATCTGATTTATGACAGTGGTTGGAGTCAGTGATCTTGGAGATCTTTCACACAACCTAAATAATTCTGAGTCTGTGAAGAGAATTATCCCAGTTGGGGCAGTTTGTTCATAATCATAAATAGTCTGAGCAGAGACTGAACAGGATGAAGGTGTGCAGCTTCCCAAGTTGCCTTCAGTGCAGTCAGCCTGGATTATATTTCACTTCCTCCAGCAAAGTTTTCCACTTCCAGACTGCAGTTGAAAGTAAGGAAAAAAAAATACATTTCTATTGATCTGAGGGAAGAAGCTCTTCCCAGAAAAGAGCAGTAGAGTTCTTCTGTGGCCTCCAAAGCAAGTGTGAATACTGAGAAGTTGAAGAAAGATCAATAAAACTTGGCAGTTTGTTGGATGTTTTTATGGTGGATCATTATTTATGCTTTCCCCTTGGAACAGAGCAAGTCACTTTAGGTATTTCTGCATAATTTAACTGTGAAAGTTACACCTAGAAGACATCATGATTTTTTTCCTTGCCTCTTTCCAGAAGAAGGGTAAAATGAAACCTTAGTAAAAGGATTTCACTACATTTTCTGTTTCATAGTGACATTGTTGTTAAAAAGTTCTGGCTTCTTGGAACATATGAAAACCCCTCTTGCCTTTTTCCTGATGTTGCTGAGTCTACTGCAATTATATTTCTCAATCCAAATCTCCCTGAAGACTTTTAACAGCATAATGGAGTAGTCCAGATTTATTGTGTCTATCTGAGGCTTTGTTTTTTTCCCCCCCAAAGTTTATTTGGTTTGTAGTTACATAGGAATGGAAAGCCTGAAATCACCAGAATGACTCATTTAATCTTGTTGAATTTATAAGCATTTAAATCAAATGAAGTGAGCGTTGTTTTAAGATCTGGAGTCTCATCTTGGATGGAATTTGTTTGGAACTGAGGCTTCCAAATGACAAATATCTGATTTATAATGGAGTTGCTGTTGCACACTTCACAGTGTCAGCACTGCAGTCTTACAACATCCTCTGGTAGAAGCACTTTGGGACTTGCAGATCCTGGGCACAGATCCTGGCATCCTTCACACAATTGTCAGGCTCTGCCATAAGATGGTTTTGGGGTTGTTTTCCTTGAATTTCTTCTATCAGAGCTACTCCAGCACTTCAGTGCACGTTTGCCCAAAATTGGCTGGGGTTTTTTTTAGCCCAGACATGTCCATGATCAGTTTTTAGCTGCTTGTGTTCCTCCTCCCAGTTCTACATGTATTTATAGGTAGGAATCATATCCCTTTTCAGTCTTTATTTTCTTGAGCTGAACCAGCCACACCTTGAAGTCTCCTCACCTGCAATGTGCTCTGCACCTCCCCAGCCCTTCCCTGGACCTGAGCCCTCTCTGGCTGCTGGGTCTGTCACTGACAGCAGCTGCTGTCTCTTCCTTTTCAAAAACTCTTCTTTTTTTCCCCTGTATTTAATAAAACACATCAAAAGATTCCATTTCTGCCCTGGGACAGCATCATCTCTGAAAATTGATTCTCATTTCTGCTCAAAGCCATCACCCCAGCTCACCTAGAGCCCCTTGCAATTCAGAGATGTGCTCTTTGCTCTTGCATTGTCTGCTAAATAGCCACTGCAATAAACAGGACACTGGAAGCAGCTGTCAAGGCTATTCTGGTTTTATCTACACAGAATTAGGTGAAGGCTTACAGGAAAAGAGAAGTTTTGACTCTGCCTGCTAGACCAACACTGATTGCACAGTGAATTTTCTTCTGCACTGGAAAGCAGGGGATACTGTCCTAGGAATCCTCAGTAACTGCAGACCTCTTGCATAGAAATGTGTCCCTCAAAAAAACCCACTGCAAAATGGGGCTGGCTATTTCTTGTAATTAGTTCTATTTATAATAATAGCCTTTAAAGAAGTGTCAGATAAATGTCATTGTGAGCATGTACCATTAAATATTATCTGTGTTTGACTTTTTGGATAAGGAGTGTTCAAAAAGACCACACTAACCATATGACAGAGCAGGCTGAATAGAAATATCTGCATTTTTTCTCTTGAGTTGTTTACAAGGAGCTGTAGAAATTTGATTTTCAGCTGTGTGGCTTTTCATGACAGCTTTTCTCACGTTGTTTGATCTTTTGGTTCAATTATTAATCTGGTACAGGAAATAATTGTCAGGGTAAGAAATATATTTGATATACATAGGGGGACTTAAAGCATTTAAAATAACTGAGTATAATTTAGTGCCTACTTGCCATAGTGTTGCATTTCTCGGGCCTGGTTTCTTCTGAGAGTGAGTAATGAATAAGGACAGGATGAGAAAAGCCATTTTCCCTGGTACACTTCATTCCCCAGACTGGTCACCTGCAGAAATCAGGTGAGTTTGGTTAGGCTGAAGTGTTGGTAGTCAGCTCTTAAAAGTTTAGAATTGGTGAAGCCACCTTGGAGAGGAGGGAGTGAATGAGGGAGCAAAGATTGCTGCTCCACTGAAGAGTTGATAAAAACAATTGTGATGCATTAAATGTGCAAGTTGGATGAACTTCTCCACTGGCTGGAGACTTCCTTAAATTGACTGGAAGTTTTTGTCAGCCAGTCAGTGAAGTGGAAAATGGCTTTGCAAAGCTCATTTGCATGAGAAGGGCTCTAGGGTGGCTGCTTTGAGGTGCTGCACCAGCACTTGCTCATTAATTCCCATTTATTGCCTTGCATTACTACCAGGCTTGGGCAAATATGGAGAGAAGGGGATCACTGTAACATTTCTCTCATTTTTTGTGATTCACACCATGTAGGGCAGTATATCACCAGATTTGGCTTTTTTTCCTTCAAGCCCTTATGGTCAAAATAATAACATGAGTATGAATGGAAATGTCTTCCTCTTCCATCTGCTGTTATGTTCTCTCTGGTCCTGCCCTTACAGAAAAATGTGTACAACTGCTCCTGAGCCAAAATTTAACTGGCACTAATGAATATAACTTGAAACATGACTGAAAATATTTAGAAAACTTCTAAGTTTAGAAGTAGCACCTACCTCTAACAGTCACCAGGTCAGTCCAAACACTCTGCAGATTCTGTGTATTTATACAGGACTGCTGTGCTGCACATTTCACTGTTTGACAGTGTAATGCTGAACTTTGGAGTTGTGATACACAAAGAAATTGGTATTTTTTAAATTGCTGATGACATGTAGATATGAAAGGAAATATTTCCAGGATCAGCTAAACTCAGTGTTAAATATTTAGATGGCTTCACTGTGAGCATTAGTATGTAGTATTTCTTTTCTCCAACTTCAGTGAATGTATTGACCAAAAACAATGCTTTAAAAGGAAGGAAAAAATCCCTTATTATACTTAAAAGTGGGGTGTTTGGTCTGTAGGCTGAGAAGAAGCAGAAACTTCCAAAGCTCAGTTTGAAGGGTTTTAAACAAAACCTGTATGGAAAAGAGTAGAAGCTCCTCCAACAAATGTGTATTTACTTGGAAGTTCTTGTTTATTGTTTCCATGAATCTTCTGTGTGGTAGCTGGTGAAAGAATAGAAGTGAGGTATCCAGAAACCTTATAACCAAGATTAAATAATGGATGGAAATAATTAATCAAGGGCTGTTCTTCTGCTTATTAACCTTCTGGTGAAATTTTATCTTGGAATAGTATAAATCCTGTCTTTTTGATGCAATGCACTTCTGACACTATGTTGTTCTTTGCTCTTGGATGATAAAAATCTATAGGAGCCCTTCTCTAATTATGGAAACTGTAACAAAAGAAGTAATAAACATGACATGCTAGTCTTGTAGTGTGTGAGAATAGACTAATAAACATGGATAATTTCTTGAAAATTATGTTCTTGGTTTTCAAAGACCTCTTTATGAAATACATGAAAACTTGAAAATTGGAAAAACCCACCAGATCCATCTGCTCAATTAGCTGTGCTCTGCAGAGATAATATAAAGAATTTGGTAATTTTTGGTACTTTTGGCTTCCCCCACAGGTGACTTATGGCTCATTTGACTACACTTCTCTGCTCTATCTCTCTGACTACTCCAAAGACTTCGGGGGTGGACGGTTCGTGTTCATGGATGCAGATTCCAACAAGACAGTGGAGCCCCGGGCAGGTATGAGCCCAGGCTGGCTGCAGGTTGTGCCATTTGTTCACTTGCTGGGCTGGCAGGTGGTGTGGGACTGTGCTTTGTGTCAGCAGGAATAATGTGGGTAATGTAGCATTCTGTGTTCAGATTGATGACATCGAAAGTAAAGATTAAAACAGGTTAAAATTTGTAATATCTGGTGTTAAGCCACAATAAGTGACTTCCTTGAAAGCTGGAGGACTTAGAGGTGGCCAGTCCTGACAGCTTAGCAGTCACTGTGCAGCAAATCCAAATTAAAGCAATTTATTTTAGACCTGAAATGCCTTTGCTGAAGGTAGGGCTTAATACCCTGTAATGGCTGAGGGCTGGGTGTGAAGGTGATTGATTGCCATGGCTCTGCTGACCTGCTGGAGCATGATGAACCATGATTCCTTGGGTATAAATCCATCCCTGCTTCCTGGAGGTCTGACAGGGATGAACCTTCTGATGGCTGTCAGTGATAAATAAATAAATAAAACACCTTTAAGGCTGGTTTGAGGTTTTTCTAATATGTGGATAATTGGAAACTAGAATTACTCTGGGGCTGCCTAGAGAGGAGCTCAGCCTCAGCTCATCTGTCTGCCAGGTGAGTGCTGAGCTTCCAGCAGTGTTACCTTTCAGAATGCAAGGTCAGCCACACTGCTGCAGGGGGAAAAAAAAAAAAATAAGCACAACTTTATATTCCTGCTGTGTTCTGTCTTTTTTTCCAAGACTGAAAAGATGGAAATTTGCTCATTTAAAGAGCCTCAGTAATTGTCTGCTGACATTTGTTACCCCAAGCAGAACTGACTTCAGACTATTGCTGCCTGCAAATTGGGATGGGTGTTTTTTGACTTATGGATCATAGTGATTCACTCACCTGCAGTGATGCTGGTTTAGAGAACTGAGATTACCTGCATTTTGGGTTTGCTGTCAAGAACTGTGAGTTTATTTTGTGTTTTAAGATTGGAAGTAAACCCTAAACTGAAAGCTTCATCTTTTGCAAAATACTGCTGCCAGTGTTTTGAAAGGGAGCGCATTAAACTATTTTGTTTCCAGATGCAGTTCTAAGATTACCAGACGTTTATAACTGTAGAAATCACAGCTGAATTCTGGGTATATGAGGAGAGCTGTCTCCTCAGTGCAGGGGCACTCAGCCTGGCTGCAGTGTCCAATGTGCCCCTGACTTAATTTCCAAAAGTCTGTAACTGTGAAATTGCTTCCATTCAGCCCCAACTATTAACTTTCAGGTTTTCTGCTGCAGAGTCTTTGCTCTTGATGTAATTTTGGGGGAAGAAGGGGAAGCTGATGAAATACAGAATTTTCTTTTTCGCTGTTCCTTTGCCCAGGGGATTGTATGGGCCGTGTGTGCCCCGGGACACCCCTTCTGAAACAAAACAATGCACAGCTCCTGAGGAATAGCACAAATGTCCTTCATGGACACGAGAGAGAATTAATTACACTTCTCTAACACATCTCTGTGTTGCCACAGTTGTCCAGGGTCCTGTGATTGTGTCACAGCCTCTGGTGCACAATCACCACTGACAATGTTTGAGAAAGGAGAAAAGCTTTAGAGGTGAAGCACAATATGAAGGCATTTGCACTTGGTTTTCCTCTTGCTGATAAAATGTTTTGTGAAGGAATGACCCCAGGCTGTTTTCTGTTGCTGGTACAAGTTGATGTATTTTGTTCCTCTGCAATGGTTTTTCTTTCCTTCTGTCTTTTTTTTTTTTTCTTTTGTTTGTTTGCTTTGTTTTACGCTTCTTTTGATCCTTTTTTTTTTTTTTTTTTTTTGTTTGTTTGCTTTGTTTTACGCTTCTTTTGATCCTTTGTGCTTCTGTTGTCACTCCAGCTCAACTTTTAAAACCACATGTTGATGAGCTTTCATGCTTTCATTTAGGAGCTCCAGGCTTTTTTAGAGATGACTGTCATAATCACTGGTTCACTTTTCGTGCTTGACAACTAATTTACTTTTCTGTATTGTTAATGCCACTACAGTCCTAAAACCTGGTACTTGTCTCACACTTAGCCTGCATTTTTAGGGACCTGATTCTGTGTACCAAAATGAGCAGGTTTCTCCTCCTGTGAGCAGCAATTTGCTCAAATGTCAGTGGGAAGCAGAAAGGCATTGTTAGTGATGCAGCAGAGCAGAAAAGCAGTAATTGGAAATACAAGAAAAAGCAATTAAACCATTGTGGGATGTCCTGTGTTTGAAAGCTCTGCCTGGGCAAGTCCCAGTGCTGCTGCAGAGGCATTTGCAGCATTTTACTGCTGAGGATCAGTGCCAGCCAGGCAGCTGGGGACAGGGAGAACTGTTCTGCTAGCAGGGCAGCCTAAATTAAAATGCTTTTCACTTCTCTCAGTGTGTATCACTTGCAGATTACCTAAGAAGTCTCTAAGTCCTGACTCTCACTCAGTTGACTGAATGGTTCTAATTTGTAGGATGATCTTTTAACATCCCCGAGTTTGGTTGTTAGCAAACATTAGCTTTAAGAAGGAGTTATAATTTATTAACATTGAGGCTCTTGAGATGATTTTTTTTAACAGAAATGAACAAGCCAGCAGCAGTTCAGTGTACAGACCTTTGGCTAATTCATAACCAGGTGTGGCATGAAGGAACACATCTTTCTTGTGCTCTGATGGGCTTCAGGAGTGAATATGTGTCTTCTGACTTCAGTCAGGACCTCTCTGCCACAAGGAACTCACTGTACCATGAAGAAGAAAATTCTTAGTGCCAAGGGAAATATGACTTTGAAATGAAAACTTTTTTTTTTTTGGTGACAAAGAAACAGATCCAAAGTAGTTTCTGTTCCTTTTAAATACACGTGGAAATTCTGTTTCCAAAATTGTCATACTGGGATTTCTTTCCACCCCTTGTACCAGGGTTGGCTCTGTTGGAGAGACTGTAAGAAACAGAGCAACATTTTGAATGAGGTCCTTCAAAACGAAGCCCTTTCAATATTAACTCTTTTTGGTGCTTTAGTTTTAGTAATCTGCAAGACATACAGGAGGAATAAGAATAAATGACAAACATCAAGGCTTTCCTTTTCAGTCACAAAGTTGATACACTTTCTGCTGCTGCTAAACTTGTCAGTGTATAAAGTTTTGTATTTTAAAATTTCATAATATTGCAGAGTCTTATGTGAATTTGGGGTCTGGCAATATTAGGTCACAGACTTCACTTGGTCATAAAGTATAGATAAAACTGGTGTTGGGATGAAATCCCAGAACAGGTTCTGTGTTCTTTATTTGTGTGTGCATTTTTTGGTTTGAAGGTCAAGCTTTGCTGCACTTATTTTCAACTTACAAGGGAATTTGTTCTTCATACAAGTAGTTTATTATACAAAGGCAGAAGAAAAGGTTGCAGTCATTTCTGTGTGTTTCTGGAAGAAACTAATCTGTGGAGCAAAATGAATTCTGTACATTGGAGAGTGAAATGTGACTCTCTAATCTCAAACTTAGTGTATTGTCACAGCTGCCAGAAGTGTGTGTTTCTGGAAGTGTAAAATATTTGATTTAAAGGTATGAGATACTTGGGAACTTCCCCCCCATATATTCAGTCTCATCTGCCTCTGTATTCAATCCACATCATCCAGATTCAGTCTAGATCATGGTAATCTCCTGCCAATCCTAGCTTTGGTTTTGTTCCAGTCAGTGAAAAAATGGAGCACATCTTGAAGTTAAATCAGTATCAGCTGAAAGCTGAGAATAATTTTTTAAAAAATCCACAGAAGGAGCTGTGAAGCTCAGTTGTGGTGAGGAACAAATGGAGGCACCATGAGCAGCTGCAGAAAGCAGCAGCCATGCAAAGGACAGCAATTCCTACCGATTTGCAATACTCATCACAAATTGTGCCAGGGACTGGGGAGGGGATTGCAAAGAGAAGTGGTGGGAAAAGGAGGATATGTGGCAGTCATGTCAAAAAAACAGAAAATTGCTCCTTATTTCTCAGTAGAACTTGGTTTTGATTTTCTTTTCTGTGGAAGTATAACTGTTTTTCTAGGCAAGTTTTGCATTCCAGCGGTGTTGGATGCCAGGTTAAGGATGGCATGAAATGAAACCCTGTTTAAATTGGCCCCATAAAGTAATAGGTACCTGGGAGTGCAGGTCAGAGCTGCCTCTAATGTGGTGTTTGTGTGAGTGACTTCTGATAAATCCACTGCCTTTTGAGGCAGCTGGTACTGGGGGAAGCAGTGCTCACCCCAGAATGCCTGGGGCACTGAAAGGATGGAGGAGTGCTGGGGGAAGAGCTGTCCTGTGTCAGTGTTGCACAGAGCATTGTGAAGCACTGCCTGTATTCAGAATTGGCCTCTGAGGCTTTTCCCCTGCCATGAAAACTTGGTTCTAAATGACCACGTGCAGCATGTCCTGTTTGTGCCTCTGTGTAATGTGTGTGCAGGCCAATATTTCATGAATTTGAGTTGAGACTGGTCAAGAAAATATGCAGCAAAGCTGAAGTGGAAAATCAGCTTCAAAGAGTTACTCCATGAAATTCAGGTACTGTAACAGATGAAATAAAACAAAATACCAAAGTAACTGCAGGTTCAGCTGTGTTAGACTGTGGTTCAGTAGGAAGAGTTCATTTCTTGGTTCCTAAGCTGTGTGTGAATGTTACAGGCCACAGATGCTCTGATGAAGCCTCTTTAGGGGCCATTTTTGGAATATCTGAGCAGCAGAGTTTACCTTTGTGCTTCTACTTCAGTGATTTACTAAATGTAAGGATGAATTTCTTTCCAGAAGTCCAAAACCCAGAACCTGGGCATCCATGTGGTTTGACCACAGCTCTGCTGGACATGCCATGTTTGGCAAGGTCAGGAAAAGTCAAATAGGTGATCCTGAGGTTGTTGAATGTGGTTGAATTTGCAGCACTTTGTTCTTAGTGAGAAGTTTTTTTAGGAGTCAGGTTGTGAGCCCGAGCAGAGCTGGCAGCACTGGCTGGGTGAGGCTCAGCCCTGGAGGGGAGAGCTGGGCAGGGGTGACATCTGTGTCCTTCTCTTGGCTCTCTGAGCCAAAAGGCCTTGGAGAGACTCACAATTGATTTGGAGAGAGCAAATAAGCATTTTTCACTTCTAAACACTGCCCGGGGTTGTCACACCTTCAGACAGGGTGGAAACTGCTGAGGTTTTGAGCAACCAACTGTGCTGGTAGAAGAGAGGCAGGCAAGGATTGTAAAAATCTAACAGTTGATATCTAAAAATGTTCATGTACTTTTAGCAGGAAATAAGTTCATTAATTTTCTTTAAAAACTGTAATCTGGAAGATTTCCAGGCCCTTCTGAATTTAAAGTAGAAGCAATTACTTTTTCGAGAGTATTGTTAATACTACAAATTACAGACTGGCTGTGGGAGACTTCACTATGTGAACCAGGGATTTTATTTTTAACAGCAAGAAATTTCTGTCTAGTAACTAAATATGGGACAAGTTTGTAGCTAGGATTTGATACCCGTTGCAGGTAGTTTTTTGTTTGGGGTTTTATTTTTAGGCCATAGGGTTTTTTTTATTCTTCTGGGCTTGACATAAATGTAACAAAATGGTTCAGAGAAGCTTGTGACCTCTCCTCTGGGTGCTCTCTTCACCCCAGATCAGGGCACTTGCAGACATTGTCAGTCCAGGTTCCCTTTGTTGGATTTGTTTAAAGCACTTGGTTAAATTCTCCCAATTCAACATTTTTAAATAAGTAATTGAATTAGTTAAATAAGTTTTATTGTGTGCTTGCAGAAAACATTATTACCAATTTATTTGCCTAATGATATGATGGGTTTTCTTGGACACTGTACATGAGAATGAATTGGTGATTAATCCTAAACAGATGATGAGGATGAGAACACAACTGGTGTGCATTTTCCCTGGCAGTGCTTCTGGCTGGCTGTCATTCAGCACATGAGATGCAGTTTTTCCTTCTTTCCTGAGGAACATTTAGAGCTGATAAATGTTAGGCAGACAGTGGAAGCTGTCAGTGCATGAGATGAAAGATGCTGAATAGATCTGTGGTGCCAAATAAACTGTTCCTGTTTCCTTTTAACCAGACAGAGGAGTTGTTTCCTTTCCTCCTGAGCAGCAGCTCAGTCTTCCCAGTGCCCCCAGGCAGCTGCCATGGACAGTGGGTGGTGGGGACACCCTTGCCATTCCCCCAGCCCTGCTGTGCAGGGAGCAGAGGGAGGGCACAGGGACCATTCCCTCACTTAATCAAGTGATGGTCAAGACAATCTGACAGGTAATTTGCTTTTTCTCCTTGAGGTTCTCACGACCCAAGGAGTTCACATGGAAATTTGGCAGTGAATTAAACTAGAAGAGCCAGAAGGGTGCTGCAAAAAAAGCAGAAAGGGAAATACCATGTGAAGGATGGGAGCATGAAGGGGTTTAGAGTCCAGTGGCAAAACAGGCAAGCTGCAAATCAAAGTGATTGCCAAAGCTGCCATTGATGTGGATGGCCAGTTTCATGTGTAATCAGAATAATTAGGGTTGGAAAGGACCTCTGGACATCATGTTCTCCGTGCCCCTTGTTCAAAAATCAAGCACTGGTGACACAGGGGTAGAAAAATCATGTCTGAGACATCCCTGGGAAACATCTGAATGCTGCACTCGTTTGTGCCAATGACATGGCCCTGGTGGGACTGAGTTTGTGTCAGTGATGTGCTCTGGTGGGACTGAGTTTGTGTCAGTGATGTGGCCCTGGTGGGACTAAGTTTGTGTCAGTGATGTGCTCTGGTGGGACTAAGTTTGTGTCAGTGATGTGCCCTGGTGGGACTGAGTTTGTGCCAGTGATCTGGCCCTGGGACTCCTGGACTCAGGAGTTGGATGTAATTTAGAAGTCAGCCTTGATTTGAGAAAGGGAATTGGACCAGGTAACTTCCCAAGGGCTCTTTCAACCTATTATGCAATGAATATGGAATATTAGAGATAGAATAATCATGTAATAATTTTTCTTATGAGCATTGTGATCTGTTAGTTTTATTAGGATTCTCAGAATTATGTCATATATTCCCTACATCTTGTTATAATTTAAGATGGTGTGCCCTACTAATTTTCCTCTTGCCAGAGTAAGAACAAGAGAAGATATATTTTTTATAATACTTTTAAATCAGAGCATGTGTTAACTGTGAAGTATTATAACGCTACTTGCTAATTTATTTTCATAGAAACCTTGTTAGAATAGGTCAGCACTACTTTTGTTTCCTTTAGACAAGGAAAAAAGTGACAAAGTGCTTTTGTTGAGGTCACAGTTACAAGTCAGGGGTGTAGGTGTCACTGAGAATTGTTTCCTTTGTATTTGCCTCCAATCTGTGTTGCCTTTCAGGGCAGAGGTTAGGTAGCAAATTGAAGGCAGCTTTTTTATGGAAATGCAGCTGAAGATTCAGCAGGGATAACATTTCTTGGGAGCAAGCCTTTTGGGAATAGTGACTTTTACTGTGACATAGCTCTGAGTACATCTAAAAAGAATTCACTGCTAAGGGGTGGTTCTGAATTAAACCTGGGAAAACAAAAGTAGGGAAAAGCAAAGGATTGTATTTAATACATTTATTCCTTCAGTGTTTTTGTTTGTGTAATTAAATGCTACATAATTACTGCATAGTGAAATGTCTGTTGCTTTTGCTGCTTGTTGAATATATTATTCCTTAAAATGACAGTGTTGCTTCATCTAAACTGGGGTCACATAAAATTCATAGCAGTGGATCTTGTGACTGGCACTTGCATGTCTTCTTAAATAATGATTCCTGTGGATAGGTGCAGAAATGGATTCTCAAAAAGTCAGGAGAAGAAGTTACCTCTAATATAATTAAGATCTTGCTTCCTGTAAGAGGTTGTTAGGAGTTCCCTGGCCTTGGTGACTGCCAGTGACCATCATGTGGAGAAGGATATTGCCATATATCCCTTGAAGGTTTTGTCAGATGGGATGGGAATTAACATTCTCTACCCTCTTTTTGAACATTTATACTGATAAAAATAATGTACTATGGAAAGAGCATGCTTTTGCTTCAAATATTTTGTAAAGGAGGTAAGTTTAAAAGAAATTCTTCCCAAGTGAGGAAAAAACATCTTTGAAAACTGACTATAACCTTGTTCAGTTACCCAGAGGCCCCAGCTGAGCCTTATGGGAGCAGATTGATATCATATATATGAAGACATATTTATTAAAGAAAGAACTTAAAAGACACTCAGTATAGCCAAAAAAAAAAATCAATTTTACTGGCTTGAACAACACACTGAACCTTGTCTAGCTCTGAATTACTACTACTTCTAGCCAGAGATCAAACAAAGCAGCTTGAAAGCCAGTTTAAGGCAAAGCTTAGGGTGAGCAGGTGAGAGACTAATAATAATGTACTTTAATGAAGTTGAAATATGATTTAAAAGGGGAAAAAAACCCATGACACAGGGATTCTGTATGGAATCCTCGAGGGCAGCACTGTCCATTGCAGCACTGGTAGGACAGGAGCATGTTGCCTTCATTCAGCCTTTAATCCAGAGAAGCAGGACAGTGATGTGGGAATGAGCTGTGTGTACAAATGGATCTCTTCTTTACATGTGTGTCACTTCAGCCATTACTGAGCTGCAGCAGAGGGGGATGAAATTGTTATGAAAGGCTCTGAGCTGCACTCTGAGGATTAAGATGTGAGCTACATGAAAGGAACTCAGAGATTAGTGGGTAAACCCAGTCCCATAAAGCCAGTCTAGTTTTGTCCAAATCCCCCCTTTGTGCTGCTTAGGAGGATGCAAACAAAGGAGCTTCTGCATCTTTGGGATCCCTTTGAGAAGAGAAATCCAGCAATATTCCTGGTGTCCATTTTGGAGGAATGGGTAAGGGTTGGAATAGTTCATGTTGTTGTTGTACAGACTTTAGGTAGGCATCAGCTTTTAAACAAACTCTAAACTGAACAGTGGGGGAAAAGCCTGAGTAGAAAAGCACGTGCTGTGGGGGTGAGGGAGCTGTGCAGGTGAGAAATCTTGGCTTCCTCAGGAGAGCTGGAGCAGTCCCACAGAGCCCTGTCACTTCAGAGTTACCTGCTGGACATCAAACTTGGGCATTCTCAGAACAGTTTAATGACCTGGGTGTGCAGAGGGCTCCATTCTGCTGTCCCATCGAGGGGATGGCAGTGTGCCTGCATCTCCACTTCACCTGGTGCCACCTTGGAGTGTCCCCAAGCAGGACAGTGATGGTCAAGGCTTGGGCAGGAGCAGGCACAGCACTGAGCACTTGCACCTGTAAAATACCTGCCAAGCCAGTGCATGGCTGGAGTGGCTCTTTCTGAGGAAAGTGAATTTGTACATGGCTGATATGTGATGTAACCTGCCTGAGTGATGAGAGGTCAGACCAGGCACAGAAAGCAATAGCAAACATTTGGTGCAATGCTGAGAAGCTGCCACAGCTGCTTGTAAACCTGCTGAGGTTTTGTCACTGAAGGCTTTTTGTCACCTCCGTGGTGCTTCCTCCTTCTTTGGTGTAAAATCAGAGGTAGGACTAGAAGGGGAGCAGGGAGGACATCAGTACACTTTGCTGACAGCCACTAGAGTTGGGCTTTTTTTGTTTTTAATTGAGACAACTAAGAATTGGCTTCCATGTTCCTGGCTTCCTCCTGCCTTTTATAAACTAGCTTTGGTGGGATTCCATCTCCAGCGTGGTGGCACAAAGGATGAATGTGTGTTTTGAGCAGTAAAAGCTGTCCGAGGGCAGTGTCAGCTCGCAGCAGTGCCTGTGATCACCTGTGTGCTCTCAGCTGGCCGGGGACAGCTGGGCTGTGCAGGGAGAGCTGCACTCAATGCTGCTCCATTCACGCCTTTCAAACCTTTGTCTTTGCAGGCCGGGTGTCGTTTTTCACCTCGGGATCAGAGAACCTGCACCGGGTGGAGAAGGTGCAGTGGGGCACTCGCTTTGCCATCACCATCTCCTTCAGCTGCGACCCCGAGCACGGCATTGCAGACCCGCTCCTGGGCTGGCCCTGATGGGCTGGGGGACACAAAACCCTGCAAGAGGATAAGAGAAAGGGAGAGACCATCCCTTGTAACCTCACAGGCAATTAGAAGTGCCCAGCTGGGGGAACACGCTGTCACACATCTTGTTTTCACGTCTCCTTTTCCATAAATACTGCAAATGGTTGCCTAAGGACCATCTTAAATGTGATGTATTCTGAAAATGGTTTGTCTTCATGTGCCAGAGACACAGGCTGCAAAGAAGAGAGAATTTCTGGGCTCCACCAAGAACAGAAAGTGGGCTCTTCATTTTTTTAGTGTTTTTTTTAATTCTTCAGTTTGAAAGATACAAACAATGTTTTGGGCCATGCCTTGATGTGACTCCCCAGGCTGCTGTTACTCATTCAGTTCTTTAGTCCCTACCACTAATGTGATATAAAAAATCTGACCTAAATTAATTGGGCCAGTTGAGTGTTAATTCTCCAGAAAACACCTTCAGCTGACAGGGATGGGTTCTCCTGAGTGTGGGACCTCTGGGGAATACACCTGGGTTTGGCTAATGGGACTTGAACTTTTTTTAAATTTAATTACTACTGATTCAATATTCGGGTAGTCTCTCAATGGCTTTTTTTTGGACTTCTCTTTTCCAGTTTAGTGTGAAGACTTTTTCTGTTAATGAGGACCACTGGTATTCCCTGAATATTAAATTGTAAGGACTTCCACGAGGAGCTGTGTGCACTGTAACACCACATGAATAATCTTGCCAAATACTTTGGGTTTTTTACTGCAATCAAAGATTTCTGTGGGTCAGGAGGTTGATAACTGAACGGTAGGAAAACCTAATTTTTTTTTCTCAATCAAATTCTGAAGTAACCATGCTGATCTGGTTTATTACCTGGATGTATAATTTCTGTGAAACTGAAAATCTGGGAATGTGCTTTGATTTTTAAATTTTTTTTAAAATTTTATGCATACAGTTTGGACTTTATTAATTTGCCCTTTTATGGAAATAATAATTACAGGGGGGGGAATTACACTGAAGATCAATATAAAGAGAAATGCTAAGAGGACACTTGGACTTCTGAGGGCTCTCACTGGGCACACCAGCAAGATTAGTCCTCTAAAATTTCATTTCTTTGTTCTGAAACCTGAAAAAGTCTTCCAAGGGAGAATTGTTAAAATGGCTGGATGCAAGGAAATAAAGTCACTTGGGTTCCATATTGAAATACTTGCTTTAAAGCCTGTTTATTCCAAGGAATTTGCATTACACAAGTTTTAAGTCCATGGGAGGGCAGACCAAGATCACCAGCAGCTTCACTGGATTGAACTGGATTCCTGCCATTACCCTGAGATTTCAATGTAGGGCTTTCCCCCAAAATACCTGATAGGAATCTGAGCATGGATGGAGCTGTGTTTGCTGGTTACTCCTGTCATGCCAGCTGTGAGTGGCACTTCTGGAGCTGCCTCTGTCAAATCCTGCTCAGCTCCATCATCTCAGGCCCTGGGGGCAATCTCAGCTCATCTCCTCTTGGATTTTCACCTTTTGAAGATCCTGTGTCTGGTAATGACTGCTGCCCATGGTGGATCTCCTGCTGGATGTTCAGAAATAAAATCAAACTGGTATTTTTCTTTTGGAGTCTTTAATCCTCAATAATCTGATCAATATGATGACCAAACCTGTCACCTGTAATTTGTTGGGAAATTGTGCATTCTGCATGGTAGGAGGGCTCTTATTTGGAAAAAAGCCAAATATTGTGTGTTATAGTAACACTGAGATTCTTCTATTTAGAATTTCAATATCCAGACTGTTAAAAGCAATGCTAGATGTAAGGAGGATTTAAAAGGCAAATGAGGAAGTAAAGTGCAGTGTAAAAGTTTCTGAAAGTAGCCTCCAGCAGGAAGCAGTAATTACAAAGTGTTCCTGGGGCACAGTGGAAGTTGAATTCACTGCTTAATAGGAACAAACTTGGTTTAATTTATTTTAGGCCACCTAAATTCCCTGAATAGCTTTTTATTAAGGGTCTCTCCAGATAATGACATATAACTCTGAACTTGAAATATATTAATTTCTGTCCTTTTTGAAGCTCAGCTGCTTGTTGCTCCTGGGAGCTGCAGGGCTCTGATTCCTGGAACTCTTGACTATTCCAAAGGCAGGACTTTTCAAGCAGCACGAGTGTGATGCCAGGCTGCTGCAGAGAAATGCTCTTGACTGAGCAGAGGTGAGGACGGAACGTGGCTGGATGTGTCCCAGAGGTGTGAGGGCCTTTGTGAAGAGCCCTTGTACTTAGAACAAAGTAAAGAAAGGTCAGTGCTGGTGCACTGTGAGTTGGGGCTGAGTCCTGATGTTAAAATTACAGCTTTGCACCTGAAATCAGACTTGTTACAGGTGTCTGGGAATGCTGGTTTGTGTTTTGAAAGGAAATTACTGTAAGGAAAGGCAAATGCTGCTGGTGTGAAAAGTCCCAGAGTAAAAGAGAAAATGCAGCAGGAGAGCAAAGCAGATTTGACTCCCTACAATGAGACTGAGTGAAGCCCCCGATTATTTCTGTGAAGTTGTACTACTTAAAAAACCATATTTGCATTCAAATGATTTGTGGAATATCAGGAACTTTCGAAAAAATTGTCAGGTTTTTAATGTACACCTACCTTTCAGTCCTGTAGCATGCATTAAATTTTAGGTTTTTTTATCCCCTGGGATTCCAGGAACTCTGGATGGACTTCTTGGCACTTCTCCTGTATAACATTTTCATTGTGTAAGGAGGTGTGGAATAATCGTGGCTTTTAGTTCCTTGTAAGTCAACTGAAGGTTTAAGAAGGTACATTTATGTTGAGGTTTTCCTGAATATGTCTCTTCCACCTGAAATATTCTGTGCTCTATCCTATTGAATTTCAAATCCAGAAATGTTTACAAGGATACCCTATTTACAAAATGATTTAAATTTGGGTTTATAGCAGAAATTCAGCTTCATGTCTTACTTATTTTTGAGGTCAACAGCTGGGTGCTTTAGGTGCTGTAGCACCTGCTAAAGTGCACATTTAAATAAATGTAGCTGAAAAGGCACTGATGATGACTGTGCTGCCAAGGAAATCTGGTTTTATTTATTCAATGGCATTTGTTAGTATTGAATTGCTCCTTCACAGCTTTCCTTTCCTCAGTAAATGAAGATGATGCTGTTTTTAATGTAAGAGTTCCTGGTGCTCCTTCTCCATCCAGATGTGCTTACAGTGTTTGCAGGGGATTTGGTTCTCTCTAACGTGCTCATAGGGGGCTCTGTGCAATATTTTTGTCTTGTCTAAATTCTAGGGATAAAACCAGGAAATGCTGCTGGAGGTCAGGGTTCTTTGAGTGAGGAGGAATAAATACAACCAATCTACCTTCTCCAAGTGAAAAAAAAAAGTGGAAAAAAAACCCAACAAAAAACCCCCAATTCCTGTCTTTCCTTTTTTGAGTCTCTTTTGTGGAAATCCAAGCACCCATCCCAGGAGCAGCAGCAGAGTTATTTCCTTTCTGAAGCGCAGGTGGCTCTGGCACTCAGGGATTGTCTCAGCCTGGGAGGATGGGGCAGAGTCCTGGAGGGGTGGAATCCTCTGCTCACTGGGTGCTCCTCCCTGCAGAGCTGCAGCTCTGCCTTGCCCGGGGTCCTGCAGCGCTCCTGGGAAGCTGAAAGCTCACTTTCCATCGTGGCCTGAGCCCTGCTTTCAGCTCTCTCTTCCTCATTGTTAATTTATGCCCAAAGTCTCTGTGTGGCCATTTTTTATCTTTTGTGAGTGTTGGTGGCTTTGGACTAAAGTTTTTCAGGGTGGGCTGTGTAAAGGGAATAAATAACTGTCCAATTTCACAGGTTTGTCCAGTTTCACATCTTTGAGTGTGTCCATCACCTCCCCTCAAATCACTCATTTCACCTTTCACTTCTGTCCCAGCTCACCTCAGCCTTGACCTGTAGCAAGAAGTGACCAGGGATAGAGCTCAGTGCTTTATTTATTCATTGAATATTTATTCACTGGCTTGCTAGCACTGCAGAGGAGCTGCCTTTTTCCTCTGATCCTTTTACTCCACATGGAGTATTAATCTTTATGAAGGATTTCTAACTCAATCTTTTTTCATTCCTCAGCATCCTTTTTTTTTTCCCCCCACAAATCCTCTTATTTTTCTTCTAGCAGAGGCATTGCCCATGTTCAGACCAATTATTTCAGAAATATTTATTTCCATCTTGCCTGTTTTCCTGTGAAGCTGAAATAATGACAAGGTGTGGATCAGTGTTGCCTGCTGTTGAACATTCTTGTCTTTCCTGATACCTCCTGGACAATGAGTAAGGAATTTGGAAACAGATATTAGAGAGTGAGTCAGCCCTTGGGGTCACAACAAGAAATGCCTTGCTTGAGCAGTTCTTACTCTGGAATCAATAAAACAGCCTGGAAGTACCAACTCCTTTATTTTTGTAGCATTTAAATGAATCTAAATAAAAACATCTTGGTTTCCTGCTGGATGATCCTGAGGCTGTCCAAGGAACCTGGTCTGGGTGAACCCACGAGCTGCCAGGTCAGATTAATTGTTCATAATGAACTGCACTGAAACCTGCCCCTTTTTGAAGGAAATATTTATTTATAGGGAGAAGCTGAGATTTGTGGAGTGTTCATGTTCCATGTTTCTGGCAATTTCTTGGAATAGTCCTCCAGTGTTCAAAAAGCTCATTTTAAACAGGGATACCCTTCCTATTCTTTTATTAACAAATCACAGCAGTCCCTCCACCCCCCAAAAAAGCACCAACTGGGATCCTGAGCCATGATTTTTCTGTTCAGACACCTTGATGATTTGTCTCTTTCTTGTTCCTCAGTTTATACAATTATTCTAGGCTGTTTATGCAGATGCCTGGACTCTTTGCTGCTGACTCCACAGAAAAAAAATCTTGCTGTTTTCCTTTGAGAGAGCTTTTCCCTGTCAGGGGAAGGTCTCTGGGTGGATTCCTACCTTGGAGGTGACCTCCTCAGCATATTAACTTGCCAGCCAGACCATTAAATCTTGTGGGAATAAACAAAGGCAGGTCCTAATGGAGTCATTCTGCTTGTCTTG